GATAGGATGACAAACCTGCTGGAGTAGTTAAGGAAAGAACTGGGGGTAAAAAAGGAGAGACAAAGTATAAGCAACTCTTTGGAGGGGTTTCGCAATGAGTGAGTGTAAAGAAGTGTGGTAGTAACTTGAGAGGAATATGGGTCTAGGGCAAAAGGGAGAGGTTTTTATTGCTGTAGTTTTGCTAGATGTAAGATAAGAGTATCTGCAGAGTTGTCAGGGTATACCCACAGAGCCCCCTCCACAGTGGTATCACCCCTTTATTAGCCTCAGCACCAATGTCATCATGTCTGACAGGAAGACCCACTGAGATCTACATGTTTTTGCCAAGACTCCCTCAAGCCTACCTACCTACTCCCTCCCTGCACTAATGGTCTCACAGTGATAACTGGCTTTAGAGACCCTACCATGCTCTTTTCTCCTGTTTATATTGGCATCCACTACAAGTCCAAGACTCCCAGGCCATCACTCAGCCACTCCCCCAAGCTGATTCAATCTCATACCCTTCCTCATGCCCCAAACCTCCAAAACTCAAGCGTCATCATCAGCAAACACCCCATATCTTCAACCTCTTCTCTGAACAGTCCCTTCATCAAAACATGACATCTCCTTAAGGGCACTGACTCTCTCACTGCCCTCTCAAATGGGGGCTGTTTTCTTTTCCAGACCATATAACCAAAGAAGGTAGGTGTAGAGTGAACTTCACAATACCTCAGTGTGGCTGTCAGGCTATTGTTTTCTCCTCCCTAAAACTCTCCAACTCATTAGAAGCTCATGCTGGCAAAGTATTCCACTTGATACCGTATTTTCACAGTCATCTATAGGCCTCTGGATCACTCCTCATTCTTTGAAGATTTTAGCATTGGACTTTCTGCCTGTCTTTTCAACACTCCTCCTATTGAGATTCTATTAGAAGGATAGACAATCCTTCTAATACTCAGTCCCTTAACCTTTCCTCCAGTAATCTTGCTTTCCACACAACTACAGCCATCCAGTCTCATTGGAAAATCCTAGACCTATAATTTCTAATTTATTGCTTGTATATTCCTAAAAGAATTTTGAAAAATGACAAACTATCTTATACATTTTTTCCCTTTTAGAATTCCAATGCAAAGCATACTTGATACTCTTCCTTAACATAGGTTCATATGTGTCCTTCCCACTTCAATCACTGTATGTTGACGTTATTTAATTCTTTTTTTCTCTACTCGACCAAAATACACAAGGAGGCAGAAGAGGTCTAAGCATTAACTCGTACCTTTTCACCTAAACTTACTTGGCTCCATCTGTGAGCAAACCAAATAGAATCTCTAATCCAGATTCAAAATCACCTTCATTTGCTTTAATACAATCGTTGGGTGAAGCCACTAGTGACAGCTAGATCATAATGCAATCTTACATAATCTTACAAGATATTTTGTAAGACTTGCAGACAACTGGTTAGCTCCAAAGCATTAAGAGAACTATAACCTCAGCTGCTGTCCTTAGTACCACAATAAATGTGATTAAACACCTTAGAAATTCTGGAGAATGGCTCTGACTTTGGTCAATGCTTAGCACATTTTAAGTTGACATTTAACATGTTTCCAGGTGTAATGAATATAGTTTTGTTAATAAAAGTATTAAACATTATATAAGATGAAAACTACAAGTGGAAAAAATATTGTTAAGATTTGATATAACTAAGTCAAACTACTTTACTAAATAACTCTTGTAAATTTTATCCATGTCAGTTTTATCCAATATCTCTTAAAATTTTTCACAGTCCTGCAAAATAGTTGTTTTTAAAAGAATCAAGGTCACTAATTTATACGGAATCTTCTGTTTGGAAATCAAACTGTCCAAAATGTCCTAACTCTGAACTTCAGCTTTAACAAAAATAAATACAAAAGGAGGAAAGGCAGATTTGAAGGGTCTTGATTAATCACTACAGGGGACTTCCCCAAAACCAGAATTCAGTTTATCCCTTTGTTTGGCACCCAGAATTTTACCCCTGGGTAGTGGATCATAGTAGGTTCTGTTTAGGTGAAAGGTAAGCCTTTCTTTTATAAAATGGACTGTTCCTGGACAGATCAATTTTGGGAATGAGTACCTGTGGAAGTTGAGGGGCTAGAAATTGATTCCCTTAAATATATCTGTGCAAGGCAAAACTAACCGTTACTACTGAATCCAGGATAGTGCTATCCTTGTGTGAGATGGGGGCAGGGCTGATGAGGGATATTACTAAAGTTGTATTGCTTTTATTCCCTGATCATCTCTTGAATCTGTTCATTTCTCTAAATTTCCATGGCTACTACGCTGGACATACTGCTTCTAATTCTTGATGATGGTAATTGGCTCTGAATTGCTCTCCCTACGTTCACCCTTTAATTCCTCTAGCCATCTTTTTTGTTTTCCCTAGTTAATGCCTATGTCTCCTTTAAGAGCTCAATTATCACATCTTGAGAAAGCATCCCTGACCTGCTATGTTAGATACTTCTATTGTGTATTCCCACAAGACTATGTATTTTCTATAATAAAGCTGCAATTTTACATGTATCTGTGTGATTGTTTGATGTTTCCCCATAGAGAGTAACATTTATGAAGGCAAGGAATATATCATTTTTTACTCACAATTATATTCCTAGTGACTAGCACAATCCTATCACATACTAAACACTTGGAGAAAATACTTATGGAATGAATAAATCAATGATTTTTAAATTTTAAAACATAATCTGAAAATAATTGGCCTACCTCAAGCAGTTCTCAAACTTTTTGTTCTCAGGACTCCTTTATACATCTAAAACTTGAAGACCCCCAAAAGTTTTTTCATATTAATTATATCTATTGGTATTTATCCTATAAGAAATGAAAACGGATAAATTATAGAAAACACATCAATTCCTTAAAATTAACAATAATAAATTCATTTTATGTTAACATAAATAGCATACTTTATGAAAAATTACTTCTAAGTAAAAAATTAGCAAGAAGATTGGTATTGCTTTACATTTTTGTAAATCTATAATATATGCCTCGATCTGTTACAATATCACATGTCATACAGTCTCTGGAAAATTCCACTGTATGCTTATAAGAGAATAAGAGTGGAAAAGGTGACATATTAGTATTATCATAAAAATATTTTGCCTCCTGGATCTCCTGAAAAGGTCTCAGAGACTGTTAGCACAATTTGTCATATATACAAAAGTTCATCCTAATGAATATTGATATTCTGATTTAATTTCTGAGAAACTATTGTCTGTTTTAAAGATTATGATTATTATCAAAATATTAACAAAGAATGTGAAGTCAATACTAGGTAGAAAAATGTTGAATTCAACATAAAGAGAATAATAATAGAAAAGTAGCTTTTATTAGAAAGCCAACTGTAATAGGAAATTTAAATCTATGTATATGTCAAGTTCGAAAAGATACCTCTATTATAGTATTTGTCACATGTATGCAATGACATATTCAGTTACCTCTACTAGCCTATGAGCTTTGGAAGAAGGAATTGGGTCTTTAAAAACTTTTTTTTAAGTATAGTTGATTTACAATGTTTCAGGTGTACAGCAAAGTGATTCAGTTATACATATATATACATTTATAAATATGTATTCTTTTTCAGATTTTTCCATTATAGATTATTACAAGATAGTGAATATAGTTCCCTGTGCTATACAGTAGATCCTTATTGACTATCTATTTTTTATACAGTAGTGTGGATCCGTTAATCACAAATTCATCCCTCCCTTGCCCCTTTCCCCTTTGGTAACCATAAATTTGTTCTCTATATCTGTGAGTCTATTTCTGTGAGGAATTGGGTTTTGATCCACTTCTTATCTCCGGTCTCTAGGATAATGTCTAACACACAACAGGCACTAACTGTTGGATAAATGAACTTAATCGCATAGAATGTAAAAACCTCTACATATCTTATCATACATTCTACAATCCACAGCAAACGTGTTTAATCGACATTCAACAGCTTTCTTAAAGTTGTCATCATGCTCCTATCAAGAAATCTATCATCTATATGGTATTTTAATGCACCTTTATAAATTTCCACTTTCTTCATGATTTATCTGAAAATGGCCTTTAACTTCAAGTACAGATTATATCACTTGTTGTAATTCTTGATTTATTAAGACCAGTTATGATTTTCCTTTTTTCTTCTTAGATTTGAGGTTTAATATGATCTTCTAGTGGGGAAAGAAGAACAGACTGTTCGCCACATTAAAAGTGGAAGGCTCCATACATTAATTTTACTCTTTCTTATACACGGCACTTACATCTTGCATACTCTCTGCTATACATCACGCACAGACATCTCAGATCCTTAATTTGGCAGGAGTATCAGGAAAATGTGTCTGGAGGGCGTGGCTGTCCCGCTTCTCCACCCAGGGATCAGGGCGGGGACCACTAACTAGTCCATTCATGATGGGATTCAGTAGCCTCCAGACGTGAGGCGCCTCCTTCCCAGAAGCGGCCGGTCGGACGTAAAGTGACTAAATCCTGGGCCGCCAGCCCGGAGGGTGCGGTAGACCCAGGAGCCTAGAAGGGCGTGGGAGTGGAGTGGGCCGCTGGCAGCGGATCGACCGGGTCTAGGGAGCCGAAAGTCGAGGCCAGCCCTCTAGGTGGCTGGAGAGACCGGAAAGGGGGCGGGGACCTTCCGGTCCCCTCGGGACGCAGCCCGCCCAGTACCTTCGTACCCCTGGCGCGCACGCGGCACCTCCTCAGCGCCGACTGTCAGCCAGAACAGGGATACAGGGAGGGAAGCGGGGGTCAGACGGCAAACCGGGGCTCGGACCACAGGGTACTACAGACTGACCGAGACGGTCCTGGTCACCCAGGCCCTGTCCTTGGCTGACTGCTGCGCACGCAGTTCCACCCAGCGCCGCTCGCGGCAGGGGCGGGGCTGCTGAGCTGGCCCGAACGGATTTGCCCAAGCTCGGCCGGCGGGCGGGGCCTGACTCCTCCCAGCCACGGCTAGCCACGCCCCCATATCCACGCCCCTGGGCCCGCAGGAAATAGGGGCGGGCCGCGGGCCTAGCGTGGCGGGAGGTGGAGCAGGGATGCGGCTGAGGCCAGAGTCCAGGAGGGCCTGGCTGCAGGGGAATGAAGCCTCCCCCTTCTTGGGTAGAAGCCTTTAAATACGGGCTTGGGCCCGGGACTCGGGGTGCGGCGCCTGGCAGCCTTAGAGGGGCGTGCGGTGAGGGCAGATCAGACCGAGCAGGGCGCGAGTACAGAAGCTGCGGCTGCGCGGCCCAGAGCGAGGAGCTGTCCGAGCCGTCGGAATAGGAGCGGTCGGTGCTTGGTCGTGGGTAAGCGCCTTTCCCAGGCTGGCCTCGCCGTCCCGTGGGGATGCTCCTGGGTCCCAGCGGGATGTGCAAGGAGCCAGGGGGGTGTGCGCGCAGCTTCCAGTCGCGCCTTGCGCTCGGTCCCGGGCTTCCAATCTCACGACTCTCGTCTCCTCTTCTGGGTTCCGGGCGGGAATCGTCTTTTGGATCTGCTGCCCAGGAGGAGGACTAGCTTGGCTTTTTATTCAAGACTCGCGAGTTTTCCAATCGCTTCTCTATTTTTCCCCACTTTCCTACTTAAAACAAATGAGATTTCCCTGGCGCTTCTGAAACCCTAATATCCACCAAAGGAAGTGGTCTTCTGGTTGGGGACCCCATTTTGGTCTCAGAATCGAAGTCTTTTGTTTGTGTTTGGGGTCTGCTCACATGGAGGGCTGCTGCTTTCCTCACGTCATTGGCCGCCCTAAAGAAACTAAAGAGAAAATGAACCAGAGAGCCCTTTTAAGGGCGAAATCCTAAGACATTCATTCTATCGTGACATCTTTATATGAGCTGTCTTGGAATGCTTTGTTGGCCACCACACCGTATAAATGGCTTTATTTCATGTTAGGGAAGGCCTTTCTTGCGTGTTCAGGAAATCATGCTGTGTGAAACCTTGAAAAATTATGCCTCTTTATATACAGGAAGATAATGGAGTAAGGTTGAGAATTTTGGTATATGGGAAAGGGGGATTCACTGGTAGGGAGCTTTTCAGGGATATACAGAGGAGTAGCTGTTCATTGACTGCCCTCAAAGACACAGTGAGCCTTTGAGTTTCGTCAAATCCCCTAAGAAATGGACAACAGTAGTCTGGTCTGTTTCTTGGGGGTGAGGGGAATGGGGAGGTAGGTGGGAGGGGCTGTTCTGGAAATGAAAGATCTTACTGTCTTCTCTGAGACGTGCTTTTCAGTACCCAGCATCTAGTCTAAGGTAAGTGGTAGACAACCGTTATTGAAAGGATTTCATTTCTTCTCTCATTGCTGTACTTATTTCTCTAACATAAAATCTATAATTAATAAGCATACTCCATCTTCTCTCTTGCCATTTCCACAGCTTTACATGGTACCCTATAGATAATAAGGTTAACAGACTTTCTTACTGATTGAATATTTTTCCTGGGTCAGGCATCTGTTACTGTTTAATTTTTGGAAATATCTAAGATGATGTTTGAAGTTGATGTATCCAGCCATAAGGTCTGTTGCCTTAGCTACTGGATAATTAGTTTTGGAACAGCCTGGTTTGCTGTGACTTTCCCAAAACGCAGAGGTAAAAAAAAACTCATTTCAAACTGACTTATTCAGTGAGCAAATATTCCCATTTCCTGACAGCACAGTAGAGGGTCAGAAGGTACATAAAAGCAGAAATTGAAAATGAAATCAGAAGAGACTGTGTTGGGCAAATTATTTATCACTAACACTGTATCAAGCTCCATGTTAAAGCTTATTGGAGGTTTTGTTGAAACTCCCAAGTGGCAGTTTATTCAGACCTGCACAGATTGTACATCTAGCTTCTTCAGTAATTTCCCCGTTGTCATCTGCAAATTCATACTTCATGTGAAATAGCAACATGGGGATAACTGAAAAAGTGGAGGGTAGCAAAGTAGACAGGAATGGGGTAGGTGCAAGTCTGAGTGTTTACCTTGTTATACAGATTTAATTTTTGAATCATGAATTACTACTTATTCAAAACAAAAATAAATTTTAAATATTTGTTTATGCATTTATCACAGAGAATATTGCTTTCTTTCAGGGACTCAATTAGATCCCATATTTTGTTCATACTTACTATTTTACTAAAATTCCATTTTTTAATAGTTATAAAAAGTCATTAGAGATCAGGCTGTGAGTTGATATCTGCAAATCATGGCTACGAAAGATTAATTTATAAGCCAGATTACTTGTTTGTTAATACAGACCGGGAACCTCAAGTGGGTTGGTCAGCTCATTCTCTTCCGATAGGGAAGTCTGCCCAGAGAACCAATGAAGATTAGAACATTGCTTAATACAGACCAAAGTGAATTGGATCTTCTTAATTCTGTGCTTCATGTATCTTTTTTCATAATAGGGATATACTTGCTAGGCACTGTAATTAGATCCTGCCTTCCAGAGTACCTTCTCTGATCCGTGCAGGAATATACTAACAAATTCTTAAACTCGCTGATTGCCATTTTCCTTCTCTTTGGAATCCATGAATGGGTTAGATCAAATGATGTCTGAGATTGGATTTAGTTTTTGACAAGGACTAAAATTCTAAGAATCTGAACAGTTTGACAATTCTTGTTCTCATTACCGAATAAACTAACATTCTTAGTATAAGTCAGTCCCTTGTCACTCTGATTAGTGTGAAATCAGTTCACCTAATGGCTTTTGAAAAACCTACCAAAATCTATGTAACAGCTTTGCTAACTACAAAAGTTACTTTCCTTTAACCATCTTACGGTTTCTGATTAAAGTTGAGATAGAATCTAAGATCATTGTCAAGAACCTGAAAATAAATCGCTGAAGCCAAATTGTGTAGGGAATATAATCTCAGAGGCCAATTCTGGACTTTGGAACTAATCTTAATACCGATTATTTTAGTCTAAACCTATCATAAAGCTGACCTTTGTGTACTAGCATTTATTTAAGCTCGGATTGCATTGGTGTGTTCACCCTTGAATTTTCCCTCAGCAATCAAAGTTACTCTAATGTGTTAGAAGACTAAGTAAGGTTCTGTTTTGCTTCTTGACTTTCTAAATTATAATCTTTGTGACTCTTCTCCAATAATACCGGTTACAATAATTTTTTCCATGTTTCATGCTAGTACAGCTGAAAACAGGGTAGGTCATCCAGTTTTTGTTGTTGTTGTTTTGTGGAGGGAGTTAATTAGGTTTATTTATTTATTTATTTAAATGGAGGTACTGGGGATTGAACCCAGGACCTCATGCATGCTGAGCATGCACTCTACCACTGAGCTATACCCTCCTTCTACTTTTTAAATGATTGCTTTCATAAATCTTATTGAGTGTCAATATAGGAAATCCTTCCAGATATCTGTCACCTTGACAGTTTTTATAAAGTGTGACGAATGTGCAGTGTGATTTCTTTACATTTTCTGTTTTCAATAGTGAACAGTCCTACTGTTTCCCTCCTAGTACAGTCATGTTTGAAATTAAGAAGATCTGTTGCATCGGTGCAGGCTATGTTGGAGGACCCACGTGTAGTGTCATTGCTCATATGTGCCCTGAAATCAGGGTAACGGTTGTTGATGTCAATGAATCAAGAATCAATGCATGGAACTCCCCTACACTTCCTATTTATGAGGTAAACAATATTAAACAACACTTTGTTCTTATACTCTTTGTTTTGTTACTATTTTTGCTAAATTTATTTTTTATGTAAAAATCTATGACTGCAACTGATAAGAAATTAAATGAAAAGATCTAAATATACAATGCTATGAACATTATAATTATGATTATGTCAAATATGCTGAGGGAAAATGCCTGGAGAGAAGTATATCAAATATTAATAATGGTTGTATTAATACAATGAGGTTGTGAGTATTTTTTTCTCTTCTCTATTTTTTACTTTTGTCTGTTGGTATGGTTACCATTTTGTAATAGTAAAATTTAAAAGTGGTATTCTGTAAGAATAAAATAAATAAAACTGGATGTTTATAAAATATAAATGTAAATGTTTATATATTCATGTAAGGCTATTATATTTTTGGATTATTGTATTTATATTAGGGAAACCTTGGATGAATAAATGATGTCTTTCATATTCAGTGTTTAGTATCCCAAATTTGTTTAATTGGAATTTTAAAATTTCTATGAATTTAAAGAATTTATAGTTAGGAAAATATGCCTCTATCTTATTATTAACAATTATTATTTATTGTTAACTTACCAACTATTAAGCAGGATTCCATTTTTTAAAATTTTCACTGTAAAATGAGTTCATGGTATTATGTTTTTGAATATTATTTGACAGTATTTACTAAAGTTGAAAATATGCATAGTTTGACCCAGAAATTCCACTCCTAGGTGTATATCCAGCAGAAATACATTCATATATGCACTAAAACACAGGTATTAGCAGTGCCATTGATAATAACACCAAATGGGAAGCAACCTAAATGTTGTCAGCAAATGGATACATAAATTATAGTATGATCCTGCAATAAAATACTATACTGCACTGAAAAAATCAATGAAACTACTGCTGCAGGCAGACAACTACTATTTCTTCTTTTTTTAAATTGAAGTATAGTTGATTTACAATGTTGTATTAGTGCTGGTGTACAGCTTAGTGATTCAGTTGTACATATGTATATTCTTTTTCATTTTCTTTTTCATTAGAGGTTATTACAAGCTATTAAATATAGTTCCCTACTGTTAAACAACAGTAGGACCTCGTTGTTTAAAAAATATGGAATGCTTTATGAATTTGCATGTCATCCTTGCACAAGGGCCATGCTAATCTTCTCTGTACTGTTCTGATTTTAGTATATGTGCTGCTAAAGTGAACACAGAACTACTATTTCTATTTGAAATCTGAAACTCTTTCCTGCGACTTCAGGGCTTTGAATTGTGTGTTCTACAGATATGGAAAACAAATTTGTCATTACCAAAGGGGAGAGGAAAGACAGGAGGGACAAATTAGGAGTATGGGATTAACAGATACAAACTACTACATACAAGATAAAAGCAAGAAGGATATACTGTAGAGCACAGAGAATTATACTCATCATCTTGTAGTAACCTACAATGGAGTATAATCTGCAAAAATACCAAATCACTATGCTATAGACCTGAAACTAACACATACTGTAAATCAACTATAGTTCAGTATAAATAAATAACAACCAAAAAACCTAAAATAGAAACAACAGTAAGCCACAAAGGAACTGTGAGGATGATCTGAATTTCCCATGTAATAATCTTGTTACTTGTTAAAAGTTAAAAGTTAAATTCCTCCAAAAAAATAGTGTGTTCCTCATGGATGTTGAATCCAGTTGGGATATGTAGTTAGAGTAAAAGAGTTAAGATCTAAAATGATTTTTTTCTATATCTTACTTGGGGAAATGAACTGTGCAACCTAATTATCCATTTCAAACGTATGTCAGGCCTTTGTTCCATTTTTATTTCTTTATTTTATGTTGTAAAACTACTCTTGCACATTTTCTTGGCCATACTGAGATATGAAATGTTATGTGAAATGTCAAACAGGAAGAACCATGAAAGAAGAAAAATGAATGGCAGGTTTAACTGGAGTTCACACTGCTTTCTGGATTCCTTTGTTGAGTAGCTTATACATATCATTACTAGTTGTAATTTTATACTTACCTACCTTGGACAAAGCAAAGAAATATTTTTATTTCCAGAGAAACCTTAGATACCTTTGTAATCAATTTCCACCTTAAATCTGTATCCTATAATACATTTTAAAATATACAGTGAAATTGATACTTGTTTACAGTGGTGGTATAAAAATCTATGGCATCGGTTTTTCATTGTAAATACCAGGTTTTCATATCAGAAAATCTCTTTTGGTGACTAATATTTAACTCCTGATCACTGATAAAGAAATGATAACTAATGTGTATTTATAATATTTAATGAGTTCTTTTGAGTACACAGCCTCCTTGAGAGTTGTTCCACTCTCAGTCTACCCACTCTGAGAATCACAGAAATATTTAGGAGGAAAAATGATAGGATTTGATTGTTGATTATATAAGAAGGATGAAAGAGAGGAAGGAAGCTAGAATGATATTCAAGAATTCAGGGCTGAAGATGTAAAGTTAAGGTTACGCAGGTAGTTTAAAAAAAAAGATTATGCAGGTAATAGTTAAAATTGGAGTAGTTGAGCTCTCCCAAGAAGAGCCTGTAGAGAGAACAGAGCATGGGTCAAGGACAGAACCCTGGCAAATGCTAACATTTGATGTTGGGTGGAGAAAAAAATGCCATAAAGAAACAATGAAGAGTAGTTCAGAGAAGGTGAACCAAAACCCAGAAGTATCGTAGTGCAACCTCCATAAAGATATATATGTCTTGATTATGAGTGACTAACACAGTGGCCAGTACTTAATAAATGCTCAACAAATGTCTGCTGAATGAATGAATAAGCTGTCAGTTATGCCAGATATAGGAGAAAAAAGATCCGAGACATATCCATGCAATTCGGTATTATGGGTGCCATTGTAACTTTTACAAGAATGATCACAAATGTCAGGAGATTGAAGAAGTGAGAAAGTGTAGAAAAGGAGTAAAAGTCTTCTTTTAAAAGGTTTAATTAGAAGAAAATAGAGGGGGTGGTCACTGGAGAGGGGCAGAGGGGAAAGTGATTTCATTTATTTATGTTTTTTTCTATGGTTGATAAAGGATCAAGCATGTTAGTAAACTACAGTAGACAAATCACATAGAGAAGGAAAGGTCAAAAGCTTAAGAATAAAGGGTCCAGTTGGTGGAATAAAGTCTAGAAAGGTCGCAAAGGTGATGGGCTCCTAAGCACAAGTAGAGGAATTGACCTTGAAAGTCTCTTTCTTGGAGACAGGGAAGTAAACAAGGATGGATAAAGATACAGACAGTTTTGTTGGTGAGGACATGATATAAAAGACACTGACACGTTGGTCATCTCAGCTGTCTGAATGTGGGAGGCAAGATGGTTTTGAAGAAGTTATAGTGGAGGTTGGAGCAGGAATCTCAGAATGAGAGGACAAGTGAAAAGATTATGAAGGCTACATTGAAAACCCAGCTAAATATACTTAGAGTTGATGAATTTATGTTCATTGTGGTTCTTTTCTTGTTTTATTGGCTTATGTTTTATGGGTCAAAACTATATTAGTAAAAGGGTAGTCATGTTCACTGCCTGAGAAGGAAATAGTAATGACCATCATATAAAATATGGTAATAAGATATTCAAGTTTTTACTCAGAGAACAGCATAGTAGATACTGTTAATATTTAACAATTAAAACATTTTTGTGTTACCATATTTAATGCTTTTTTTAACTTTGTTCATTGAAAAATAATAACTACTTCCAAAAACCCAAAATGGATAATTTGCTGTGCTTCTTTTGAGTAAAATTTTACAATGTGAAAGGATTTGAGTTCTTCCATAAAAAATACCATGTAAATCTTAAGTATTAATTATGATAATTACATAATGACTCTAATAAGAGGTAGAGCCTATATCATTAACTATCTCTACATTTGTTTTGGAGATTTACAAATACCCCAGTGATTTTAACAGAATAATATAGTTATTCATTTTGAGGTGTTATTAAGACAAAAAAAAAACCAGTATAAATTCTGCATTGCTCTGATTTTTAGGTGACTTTAATTTAAACATTAGGAGATTATATAGGATTGAATTAAATTTTCTCTGAAAAATTCCAACTCTGTAACCTTTTACTCTCACTTTCTAGAATCTAGTTAAAATGATAAAGCAAACAGCTGTTATAATTGGCGATGTTCATGGTATAGTGGTTCGTGTATTTTGCTGGTTCTATTGTACATTTTAGTTAAACTAATAGAAATTTGAATTTACTTTTACACTTTCTCCATTTGCTTATGTTAAAGTGCCTCAGAACCATGAAGAAAAGTGGATTACCTCTGGATATAATTCCAGACCTTTGGTCCCTGAAGTGGCTTTTTACTTTGCTGTATACGGTTTTCTGTATGTCCATAATATTGTGGATATTGTTTGAACCTTCTCCTCCAGTAGAGGAGAAGGTCTGTTTTGCTTTGGTTTTTAAGAATTCTTAAACATGTCCTTCCTCCCATGGTTTATTTGAATCAGGATGCAAATAAGATCCATATATTACAATAGATTTGTATCTCTTAAGTGTCTTTTAAGACGACAATATTTTAATCTCTCTTTCTTTCTCTGTTTTTCGCTTTAGTTTATTAATTGGAGAAACCAGGTTGTTTATCCTGTAGAAATTTTCAGTCAGGATTTTGCTGATTGAACTGATTTTATCAAATTTAGACTTGACTTTTTTGAGGGGGTGGGGAGCAAGAATACTTGTTAGGTGGTGTTGTATAGTTCAAAATTCTTTTTGGGGGGAGGGGAGGTAATTAGTTTTTTTTTAATTTATTTATCTTTTAGTGGAGGTACTGGGGATTGAACCCAGGACCTCATGCATGCTAGGCATGCACTCTACCACTGAATGATACCCTTCCCCCTTCAGAATTCTTAATTATATCTCCTGTTAAATTGTATGGGAAAAGTAGCACATTTTTAATAGAAGTGTTTCTTATAATAGGACTTAGAAAAAATATATTTTCATGTATGTATAGAGTAATTATTGACTCACAACCAGTCTAAATGGCCTGTGTTTTATGATCTAAATTCTTGGGGGTAAAAACCTGTATTCATAATGACGATGCAAAATCAAATGTTTGCTTGAAATCACAAAAGACTTTGACTTTACTGCTGATTGTGTTGACACTTGGAGTTAATTGTTAACACTTATGAAACAGTCAGGTGCTTGGTAAACAGTGACATGCATTTAATTGATCTGCTTTAATTGTGGTAGGATCAATTTTGCTTTGTTTGTTGTGTCCCATCATGTACACTTGATGGCCTTTGGTACCAATATGATCTTTGATTTTTCTACAGAGGTGTTATTTGAGAGCAAATCTAGACCTTTAAATTACAGCATGACCGTCCTCTTAACGAATGTAATCCTATACTATTGGCTTATTTCATATTATTGATAAAATGTATGTACAACTTCTTTTCTTTTCCCTTTTCAGCCAGGACTAAAAGAAGTGGTAGAATCCTGTCGAGGAAAAAATCTATTTTTTTCTACCAATATTGATGACGCCATTAAAGAAGCTGATCTTGTGTTTATTTCTGTAAGTATTTTCCTTTGCTGTGTGAGTTTTAATGTATTCTTGTCTATATAGAAGTTTCATTGAATTCTAACAGTAAATCTATTGGTATTAAGCCACAGCATTACTTAATATAGAGTTGTCCAGTTGAATTTTGGTTATCACTAACTTTTTATCCAACACTTCACCAAACCCTATTATCATCTGGTAATTTCAGATCATTGAACAAATAAATTCAAAGAAAGTTCTAGTCTGAGATCTAGAGTTAGAAAGCACTGGTAATGTGTGAACACAGTGGGTGATAGTATATATATTTCATCATTTCTTGTTTCCACTGCTTGATGGAGGTGACGTAAAAAGAATCAGATAAAGTTTGCTTGTAAACTTATAGGCATCTCCTATCTAGATGCATTTATGGTCTGAAAATGATTTTAAATTGTTTAGAACTTGGTTAGGTTGTTAGGCTAGTCCACAGACACCTGCAGCTCATAATACAGCTAAACTGTTGTACCTTTGTGATGAAAAAACTAGAATCAATGCTTGGGAGTACATTCTGGTAGTCCAATATTTGAACCAAGGTAACTTTTTTCTTGCTGCTCTGGTAACCATCTATTCAAATATTCTGTGTGATAGTATAGTTACAACCAATTGGTGGCTGAGCTGGGATGTTATATGACTCTAGACGTTTAGGACCTTAAGGAATAAAGGGTAAGCCAGTGGTGTGAGCTTTGCCTGGGTTCCACAGAGCATAGATGCTGTTGAATTGACTATGCTTTGAGACAAAAGCAGTGCTGTGAAGATATGTGAACTCCAAAGGAAGTAGTAATGAAGCCCATAGTAAAAGTGTGTCATGAATTCAGTCTCTCCTTTTGGCTTCCCTAATTACTTCAGAGTAATTGGTGCCACTTCTATGACTCACCTACCCAGTCGCTACTTAATTCTTGCAGAAGGTTAGGGTAGAGGCATAGAAAAGGAGACATTATTTTGGAGTATCTAGATGCTTGGAGAAAATCAAGAAGTTACCTTAGCCTAATATTTGGATAACCAGATCCTGGAATGGCAATAGGGGAATTTTCAGTTAAAAATTTTTTTTGTTTAAAGTATCTATTCTTAGGCAATAGAGTCTGCCTCAGTCTGGTCTAGCACAGATAGCTGATTTTACACTTGTTTCTCTGCCAGTCTAGCCTGAGCTGCCTTGAATCTTTTAAAGCTATTATTTTATGTGCCTATTAAGGTAAATTATTATAGTATTACTCTCTAGATTTGCTTTTTATTTTCTTTTTTAAATTTACATGTATACTTTTCACTGTGGAAAATAGCAAACTTCTACAAAAGATGAAAACAACAATATAGTGAACCCTTGTCTACCCATCCTCCATTCTCAGCAGTTATCATGGCTGGTCTTGTTTTATTTACTTCTTCTCTCCATTTCCTCCCACTCCAGCTTAATTTCTGGGTAGGAATCGTTTTATACTATCGAATCAGTTTTTTTTTTTGAGATAAAAGGATTTATTTTATAAGACACGAAAATCAAAAAGGAAAACATTAAAATTTAAAACTTCTAAAAAAAATAAAATGCAAGTAATAAAGATTAATATTTGAAATATATAAAGAAAATTTTTAAGTCAATTTTTAAAAGGGACAAAGAGCCCAACCAAAATATGAGTAAAGACTATAAACAACCAATTTACAGAAGAACCCTGAATATCCAATATGCATATGAAGATGTCTGAGTCTCACCAGTTACCAGGAGTATTCATCTGAAACAAAGAAATGCATTGGAACCAGTTTTCAAGTGTTATCTTCAGAGCTCATTTATCTGGGCAAGCTGTCTGATCATCTGTCTGCCTGTTCTGTGGCCTGTTTAATGTTATCCCATCAGCCATCTTTGCCCTTCTGTACTCCCTTACACCCTGACTTCCACATCTAAGTCTTTTCCTAAATTGTTCCATGCATACAAACAACTTTATCCTCCTGCTTTTCACACTTCAACTCAGTCTTCATGTTTCGATTTATTTTGGCTTGATTCCTTTATTTAGTCTCCTGTTAAGTTAGGAGCTTGTCAAGAGAAGAAAATTGGTGCTACTGACTGGTTCCAAAATTATTCCTATTTAGAATTTTAGACTTTTCAGAGAATGTTTATTTTCATGAGAGCTCATGTGTTAGATTTTAGAGAGCATGTTATCCTCATTTTCCAATGAGTTCATTGAGGTCATTGAGGCAAAGGCAGCCACACTTCCCTGAGGTTTTATGATACACCTAAGCCAAAACTAAATGCCTAGATGCTGGACTCATGATTTATTTTTCTATTTTGACAGTCTTTGTCTACATAGTATTCTGTATCCTGAAGATGCTAGATAATTTCTAGCTTTAATGAGCCAAGAAAGCATTTGCCAATGATACTGCAAACATTTTTGAAAACCTGTTGATATAGGTCTATAAAAAAGAAGAGTGAAAAGGAGTTTAAAGTTTGGTTTTAAAGACCAGGATAATATATTACATACCATCAAGAGAGGAAGAAAGAGAAAACTTATATTTCAAACTGTGAACTCCTTTCGGAGTCTCTCATCTTTCTATCTGCAGGCTTAGCTTCGAACCTGCCTGCCTGGTTCTGATGCATATACAGTAACTTCTCAACAGAAATTTATTGAATGAGTTTTCCAGGTGCTTCATTCTGTTCCCTCTGGTATTGTATTTATGAAATGTATTATTTCAATGGAACTAATAGAAGGTGGAATCAGGGCTACTCATGGTAGTTAACTTCACACTTGACTAGTCAGTTGATGGTCCAGGGCATGTCGTGAAATGAGGGAATATCTCACCAATCCTCTGTTCTTAATCCCATATACTCTCATCAGGTGAACACTCCAACAAAAACCTACGGAATGGGGAAAGGCCGTGCAGCAGATCTGAAGTATATTGAAGCTTGTGCTAGACGCATTGTGCAGAACTCACATGGGTACAAAATTGTGACTGAGAAAAGCACAGTCCCAGTGCGGGCAGCGGAAAGTATTCGCCGAATATTTGATGCAAACACAAAACCCAACTTGAATTTACAGGTATGAAAAAAAGAAGCATTAGAATCTTGTTCTTCTTATGTAAATATCCATGCTGTAAAGTTGTCCATATATTTTTTTTAATGGGGGAGAGATAATTAAGTTTATTTATTTCTTTATTTAACAGAGGTGCTGGGAATGGAACCCAGGACATCGTGCATGCTAGGCATGCACTCTGCCGCTGAGCTATACCCTCCCCCTAAAGTTGTCCATAATTAATGCCAGCTTAAAACTTTCCTTTGCATTGGGATTCTAGGTGCTATCCAACCCTGAGTTCTTGGCAGAAGGAACAGCCATCAAGGACCTGAAGAGCCCAGACAGAGTGCTGATTGGAGGGGATGAAACCCCAGAGGGCCAGAGAGCTGTGCAGGCACTGTGTGCTGTGTATGAGCACTGGGTTCCCAGAGAAAAGATCCTCACCACTAATACTTGGTCTTCAGAACTTTCCAAACTGGTTGGTATATAGCACTCAACTCTTTATTAAATTTAAAGCCAAGGACTTACTTCTCTTAACCCTGATTAGCTACACAGGTACTTTCTTAATATTAATAAAAAGGTATGTTTTTGAAGATAATATTCTTATACATTATGAAATAATTTTCACAAGGGGGATCAAATATTTGGGTATAAAATATCCTGGATTATATAAGAGAAAATAGAACTTTACATTACAATCGTAATTTAAAAGATCACTCTTGCCCTACTTTTACTTTCTTAATCATCTTTCTTCTCTAATTTAAAACATCTTCCTGTCTCAGCCCATCCATTGCCTCCTCAAACTAAGTCCATCAGTAACTTTTATATCTCCCTCAGTAATTTGCATCAACTCAATGAAATATAATGCAGAAGCACACAATTCCTATTTCAGCTCATCGTAGTCTTCCTTTTCTTTTTTTTTTTTTTAAAGGCAGCAAATGCTTTTCTTGCCCAGAGAATTAGCAGCATTAACTCTATAAGTGCCCTCTGTGAAGCAACAGGAGCTGATGTAGAAGAGGTGGCAACAGCCATTGGAATGGACCAGAGAATTGGAAATAAGTTTCTGAAAGCCAGTGTTGGTAAATTGAAAAATTTCTGTACATAAAAGTAGGTTTATTTAGCTAGGTCTCTAACTTTAAGGAAGCCTTTGCTTAGCTTAACTCCCTTAAAATAAAATAATGATTCCATTATACATGTAGCCTCAGCCTATTAATTTATATTGTATAATAATTACTGACTGATTAGTAGAATAAACATAGGTCAGTGTTTTAGGAGGATTATATTAGTATTTGGTTAGAACATTTAGGACAAGTAAGTTTGGGAGACCACATAGGAAATGTTGTAACACTTTACTGAAGCAAGTAAGGAAAATTTCCCTATCATTTGCTTTTCCTACTAATGCAGTTTTGGAAATGCAGCCTTGGTAAAATACAGTTGATCCTCATTATTTGTGGATTTCATATTTGTGAATTAGCCTATGTGCTGAAGTTTATTTGTAACACCAGCATCGGTACTCATGATGCTTTAGTGGTCATTTGCAGGCATGAACAGAGCATTAAAAATTTTGAGTCACCCAACACATACATTCTCAGCTGAAGATAAATAAGGCAATACTGTTATTTTCTTGTTTCAGCTCCCACAAAAAACATTTTGCTTTTTGTGGTTTATTTCTTGCCACATTTTTTGTATTTTTGTGTGATTCCACTGTTTAAAATGGCCTCCAAGCATATTGCTGAAGTTTTGTCCAGTGTTTCCAAGCACCAGAAGGCTGTGATGTTCCTTACAGGGAAAATACATGCGGTTTAATAAGGTTCATTCAGTCAGGCATGAGTTACAGTGCTGTTGGCTGTGAGTTCAATGTTAATCCATCAATCTTATTTTAAAATGTGTCTTTAAACAGAAACACACATAAAACAAGATTATGTGTCGATCAGTTGACAAAAATGTGACCAGAAGCTCACAGGCACCTAATGCTGTCTTTTCCCTAGGAACAATGCTTTAGTGTATGCTAATTCAACGTTTGTGGCAGATTTGTAGAACATAACTATTGGGCTTAAGGAGAAGTATTTTTGGATATAAGTTAATAAGGTTGATGTCAAGGTAAATAGAGACTTTTAGAGTTTGGGCCATAGGGAGCCCTTCCTATATTTTTGGGACCTCATGCCATTTCCTAGCCTTTTAAATCTTTCTGATATTTTCTTCTAGTGACCATTTAATAAAAATAGCTACTATTTACTGAAGGCACATTATGCATCAAGTTTTGAACCAGCACTTTATATATCTTATTTATTAATCCTTATAACTTATTACAGAGGTGCTGGTATTTACATTATATAGATGATTAAGGATCAGAGGTAATTTTTATAACTTGCTCGAAGTCATACAACTAATGAGTTCTTGATTCCAAAGCTCACGTCCACCTTCACTGTACAGTGCATTGTGCTAGAAAAGGGGTGGGCAACCATAGCCCTCAGGTCAAAACTGGCCCACAGCTTATTTGCTTATTTTTGTAAGTAAAGTTTTATTGGAACATAGCTATGCCCATTTGATTGCATGTTGTCTGTGACTGCTTTTGAGCTACAAAGGCAGAGTTGAATAGTTGTGCCAGAGACATTATGGGCCATAAAGGCTAAAATATTTACTATCTGACCTATAAAAGTTTGCCAGCTGTATGGTAGAATTAGAGATGTGGGGCAGTGATACCAGATGAATAAGGGAAAAGATAGAAAATGTCACCATAATAAAACTTTAGCTAGAAAACTCTTTGGAAATTATCTGTAGGGTTGATTGGTTGCTTGCAAATTTCACCCAATTTATAAACCCACTGATTTTCCAACATCCAAATTTTATCATTAAAAATCCTAGCATAGGCTGATTAGTATGACAAAGAAATTTGTTACATGATTCAGTTGTGTGGTTCCTAAATGAAAATATTGTCTTTTTTTTTTTCTTTATTCAGGTTTTGGTGGGAGTTGCTTTCAAAAGGATGTTCTGAATTTGGTTTATCTCTGTGAGGCCCTAAATTTGCCTGAAGTAGCTCGTTATTGGCAGCAGGTATTAATCCTTAGAGTCAACAAGTTATGATTAACTTCTAATTAAAACATGTTACTTTATCAAATGTTTTTGATAGGATTAATTTTTTTCCAGGTACTCATTATTATATTCAGTTTGTTCATTTTAGGTTTATTTATTGGGCTTCTGTGTTTATAATGTGTTTTTTGGTAATCAGCTGTGATGGAAGTTTATGATAAAACCAGTATTCCTTCAATTTTATGACTAAATTTGGAGTTAGAGTAAAGCAAAAACTGCCACTTTCAATTACGTCTTCTCTATCTTGAAAGGCGTAAGATAAAAATAAAGGAAGAACCTGTATTGTAATGCTTCCAAATGGTTGAAATTTGTTTTGTCTCTTCCCAGATTCACAGAGCTAAGATTAGAGACCCTTCTCAAGATGGAAATAGAGTTAATATTTACTGAGTGCTTAAACTCTGTGCCAGGCACTCTTTTAAGCCCTTTACATGTAGTATCTTAGTTCTCATCATTAATGTTATCCCCAGTTATAGACAAGGAAGCTGACGCTTAGTGATGTTAAGTAATTTGTTCAGGATAGCTGCCAGTGTTCATACCTTTTGTAAATATTTTTTCCCCAAGTCTATGGTTTTTCAGATTTTGGCAGTGAGTGGGAATGTAAGAAAATGCACATTTTTAGGGAAATGTACACTTTTAAGTTTATTTCACTCAATCCATTATGTTGGCTTTATCTTACTGTCCATTGTAGGGAAAATGCAGATAAAGACTTGGTTTTCCAACACTTTGGACTCACTTCCCAAGCTCTCAGGCTCTGAGACAGCTTATAGAAGCTTAGAGCCTTAAATAAAACTCATTCCTTATATTCATCTAGTCACCAGTATGTCGTCTTATTTATAAACTCTTAGGAGAATAACAGATTAGGCAATCTGACACTTTTATGCATAACATTGAATTACAAATTTTGCCAGATGTTCGTGGTGTTATGGCTCATCCAGAGGCAGATATAACTTTGTGCATTGTTTTGACTATTCTCTGTTCACTTTCTACTCACACTCAGTTTTGGCGAGGGGTCGGGGGTAAGCGTATGAGGGAGTATTTTGGGATTTAATTGCTTCCACAGGCTTTGGAGAAGTTGGCTATGGAGAACACTGTGTTCTGTGTGCCTTTTTTAGGCTGGCCTCATGGCTGGACCTCAGATGGGAGTGAAATTTAGCTGTGCCCCCTCTCTTTACATCCGTCCCAGCCTGGTGCATGGGAAGTTAAGCCAAATGAAAATTTAAATTATCAGGATGGCTATAAGGAAGGGGGGTGGATGATGGGTAATTCTTTTTTTTTTCCCCCATCTGTAGATACTAAATAGGTTGGTTAATCTTTGCCTCCTGTTAATTTATTAGGCTTGTATTCAGACAAGAATACTCACCATGAAGCCGTGAGCAGTGTGTAGCACAGGATGCACCTCTTAACTGATCACTGCATAATTGTACATGTGATTTCAGGTCATAGACATGAATGACTACCAGAGAAGGAGGTTTGCTTCCCGGATTATAGACAGTCTGTTTAATACCGTGACTGATAAGAAGATAGCTATTCTGGGGTTTGCATTCAAAAAGGACACTGGTGATACAAGGTATCAGTTCATAAAAATACTTCAACCTTTTTGAGAATGTGAACTCCTCTCTGATTTTTGTGATGGTGGATGTGTGTGAAATACATGTATGTATAAAGTATAAAGAATAAAAATGAAGTGAGCAGCCATATCCTCACAAGAAATAGAATCTTACCTGGTACGATTAAACCCCTTAGGTATTAGAATATATGCCATTTAAGAGCTTAGGAATACTGACTTTTTTTTCCCTTCAGAGAGTCGTCTAGTATATATATTAGCAAATATTTGATGGATGAAGGTGCACACCTCCATATATATGATCCGAAAGTACCAAGGGAACAAATAGTTGTGGATCTTTCTCATCCAGGAGTCTCAGAGGATGACCAAGGTAAGTAAGGCTTTGTGTCTCATGTGTCACTTTGAGTTTGGGCCCCCAAACTTGTTTGTTCTCTAGAAACCTTTGATAATTCAGTTTTTATCATTTATTTCATTGGTAGGCCCTCTTTTCAAACTCATTTCTTTAAAATTAAACTCTCAGACATTGCTTCCATCAACTTTGATTTCAAGTAATCAGCTGTGGGTTAGTCTAATGATTTTCCAATATATTCTAAAAAGCCCCAGAGATTCTAAGGAGATGCTTCTGGGGCAAGATTAGGGGTACTTCAGGCTCCCTACCATTATCCTCACTCACACTTCAACCAGACTTTTCCACTCTGTCAGACCTCCAACTCCCACTGCAATCCCAGTGTTAAAATGCATAATTTGAAATCACTCCTTTCTTATTCCAATTTTTTGTTGGGTTGTTACAGTGGCCCGGCTTGTGACCATTTCCAAGGACCCCTATGAAGCATGTGATGGTGCCCATGCTGTTGTTATTTGCACTGAGTGGGACATGTTTAAGGTGAGGTGACGTACATGAGATGAAGGAGGGTTTTAGGGGTGTTCTAGTATCAGTTGGGGTTGAGTATGTATGTGTGCATGTATGTGCTCTGATTGTTTCTTTGGTTCTGTCTTTACAGGAACTGGATTATGAACGCATTCATAAAAAAATGCTGAAGCCAGCCTTTATCTTTGATGGACGGCGTGTCCTGGACGGGCTCCACAATGAACTACAAACCATTGGCTTCCAGGTAAGCATGACCCTGGATTGGTTTTGTTTCATTTGTTTGGTCATTTGCTTTTTTAAAGGCTTTGAGTTTTAGAATTTTAGTATTTTCTCATTTAGCAATAACATAACTCTGGGGCAACATGTCAGTCAGTTCTCTGGGAATCTCTGGGGTATTTGTGAATTAGTCCACTCCCTCCTTAAATTTATGATCTAAAGGTCATTCAGTATGGGTCTCTCTTACGTAGTATCTAGGAAGTCATCAGTTGCCTATCATGTAGGGGCAAGATATGCCTTGCCTTACCTCATATAAATGTCAAGTAAGAAAATAAATTACAAATTAAAATTTTTTTTCCTGGAGCCTCCAAAGCTGCTCTGCAAAACTGTCTGCATCACACTGACCCCCTCAGAAGCCAGGTCACTTATTGCTGTGTGAATGTGAAAAGTACAGTACTCAGTGTAATTGTCACATGTTGGTACAGGATCCTGGACCCTGAGTGCTCAGCACTGTGCTGGTGCTGGGAGAGGTCTGAATGAGGTGCGAGAGATGCAGGGGCTCCGGCCCTCTTCTGATTCAGGGTTTGTCAGCTAATTATGGAACATTTAGAGCGCTGACCGAAACCTGAACAGTATGTTTGATGTTGCATCTATTTCAGTTCTACCAGGGGCCCCAAAAGTGTTAAGAAAAGGAGCTACTTTCCATTTCCTCAGAGCAGTGTGGACATGGAGTGGGAGGCTTGGGGGGATGTCAGGGAGGATAAAGAAATCTGCCAGGAGGTTGCATCAGCACAGTCCCCAAGCAGAGCAGCGCAGGGCTGTGTTCAGAGCTGGCTGTGTGCGTCTGCTCGACACCCGCTGTCTTGGAGAGGTACTGAGAAGGCCCTGTGTGCTGTTCTAAGTATTTGATCTGGTTCTCTTGTCACTGACTTGTTGAAGATCCTTATTTAGAATTCAGTGCCCATTTCTCATTCATGAGAGATTAACTTGCAGCAAAACTCAGATGGCATCCTTGTCTGTGCACACTCCAGCAAGGACCCTGGGGGCTCTTCTGTCCCACCCCTCCTTAGCGAGTTAACATGATTGTTTTTTCCTGTCATGACTGAAACTCAGCAAGGTTTTTTTGTTTGTTTGTTTTTTAAGATTATCTGCAGGCACAGACACATTTTCTCTTATTCCTGTTTTACTCATCAAAAGGAGAAGATACATAGAGGATATATATTAAAATGAGTTTGAGTTCTTATAAAAGAACTTATAACTTAACTTTTGCTAGCAAGGATTAAAAAAAATTAGGATGGAATCACTAAAGAAAGTGTATTTACAAGTCACTAAATAAGATTTATAATTGATTATTGTATAATTGATCAATACGAAGCAAAAACCCTTTGTGGTATGAGTCAGAATTAGATATTATTTTTAATTAAAAAGACATTTATGAAAATTGTGTAGTATATTTAACTCTGCTGTAGAGAGGAGATAAAGTTATGACTATTAAAAAAGAAGTGTCTTTAAAGACTGATGATTTTGGATAGCAGGGAAAAGATTTAAAATGTAATATGCAAAATGAAAATTGACTACCATTGATTTATTGAAGGCTAACTTCTTTTCTGCCAGACACTGTGCTGAGCACTATCTAGTTGAATTCTTACCACAGCCTTTTGAGGTAGGTGGGTAACACCACTCACAAATGAGGAAGAAAGACCTTCACAAGTTTAGGAAACAGCAGTTATCAGTCAGGATTCCAACTGGAGCCTTTTTAGACTCTGAAACCCGAACTTCTAAAAACTATGCTGTTACAGCTTGTGCAAGTTATTTTAGAATAAGGAAAACAGACATTAGAATAGAGTTGGAAAGAATGTGAATTAACATTCTGGCCTGCAAGGTAATCACATAAATAAGCACAAATATGTAGTACATAATTAAGAGTTTTGATAAATGCTGTCAAATTGTATTCCAGAAGGGTTGTGGAATTTTATAGTCCCATTAGCAATATAAAAAAGAGATGGAAAGTGTGTGTGTGTATTTGTGTATACTTGTGTTTATGTATATATATAAGCTGTGTGTGTTTCTTCTAGTAAGGTGACATACTACTTAGCTTAGGTAGCTATACTGAAGTAACCAGCTATAATAATAAATAAAACCTAAAATTGTAACGGCTTAACATAATAAAAATGTGCTTTTTGCTCATTAAAAAACAATCTGGTCTGTTTACTGCTTGTGTGTGTGCTACTACAATGATAGTGGCATATGCCTGCCTACTCTGAACGGGTCTGGTGCTGAGAATGACAGGAGTGAGCGTGTCTAAACACGAATATGAAAGATGGAGTGTAGACTGGTTCTAGAAACATAAAAAATGTGGAAGGAACCAAAGATCTTTTGTATTAACCCAGACAACTTGAGAAACTTCTGCTTTAAAAAAAAAATCACTTAGGTTTTCCTCCTTATTATACTGCACTATAGAGATTTTACATTTATGTATTGTAATTGTTAGTAATTTTCTCTCTAAAAAGATTAAAAAAAAATTTTTTCCCCTCTAGATTGAAACAATTGGCAAAAAGGTGTCTTCAAAGAGAATTCCATATGCCGCTTCTGGTGAAATTCCAAAGTTCAGTCTTCAGGATATACCGAACAAGAAACCCAGAGTATAAACATTGCCATTTTTATCTGTAATTTTTTTGGTACTTTAGGATAGCAAATATTTATCTGATATTCAGTGGTAAATGAACCAAGTGCTTTTAAGGAAACAAAACTATTTTTTTAATAATCACATTTATACTAGTTGTATGGGAATCAGCATATCTGGTAATTATCAAACTAGAATATTTTTTACATATTTTTATAATATTGTTACCTCAGTGATTGGATGAGTAGCAAATAATCATGTTGGTTTTAATGGTGTTGATTTTTGTAAAATTAAACTTTAAACACTTTTTACTTTATAAAATGTCTTTAGGCAGCAGTTTAATATCACATTTTAATGGGAATGGCACTCGTTTTTCTGATCATCGGTTTATTTACTTGTCATTAAGTATGTATTTTAAACCATAAAATTGCTATATTAAATACTAAGCTACACCTGTTGACTTTTCCAAAGTGTCATGGAAATTTAGAGATTTCTGGATTAATTGAGTGAGGTGGCCTCCACTGCCATTTCCTGTCTCTCTGAACTTAGAAGGATGCAATGGGCAGAATGAGGTCCAACTTTTCCCCCCTGTGCTTCCACATTAGAACTGACCCTACAAGTATCATTTGGTTATTGTTCCTTTGCTCCTTTTGTTTTAATGAACTGCATCGTTTTTTTCCTTAGTCCAAAAAGATCATCACTGCCCATTTCCAATCAATCAGTAAGACTAAAAGGCAGTTTTTTTTAACATGAGAAGATCATGTGGTGAAATGAAAATTTACTTCAGACCTCTTCACTTCTCATTTATCCTCACAGATCATTAGTTTTTTAGTCCAAGAGCCAGAAATATTTGTTACCTTTACTTTGCGTTTTATTCCTGTAATTCACTGCAGTTTCCCCCTTTGCCTTTAAGTAATAAAAACAGTATAATCTCATGTATAAACTTAAAAAAGTAGATATTACAAGTTATGTATGGCATAATCCTGAAATAAGAAATTTTGTGTTTTCATCTGCTTTTTTTCTTGTCTCTTGTTGACTTTGATTTTCTCTTGTGTTTATCATTATTGAAATATGTCAGATGTCCCTTTGATGCTTGTGCTCCGCTGAGAGTGTACAAATTGTATTAAACAGATGCAAGCCTCATCCTTTAGGAATTTTGCGGTTCAGTAAGAATCTACAGAGATAAAGATGAGGACAGAGACATCTGTACAGATATCAAATATATAAATAAAATACTCTGTATCAGCCACTGTGTGGGTGTATTTTTTGTCTAGTACATGTAACTAATGAGTCATGACAGTCTGACATTAAATAGGAAAATATCACTCCTTACTATTTTGAGAAAAGGGCATTACATTGTTCTTTTAAATGATGCAAGAAAGGGAGGGAATTTAGCAAATAGACTAGGTATCAGCAAATTAAAGCTCATGGGCCAAATCTAGCTAGCTGCCTGTGAGCTTAAGATGTCTTTTACATTTTTACATTTCATTTTAAATGGTTATATAAATTGCTATCTGACCCTTTAAGACAGAAGTTTGCAGACCAGAGAACCAGAAGCAAAACACCAGAAAGAGACAAACACGAGTATTTGAACATAGATGAGCCATAAGACTTTGAAGTGAGGATGAGCTTATTAGTTAGAATTTGCTTTACATTTCTGCTTGAAAATATTCTTGTATTCTGTTTAATAATCTTATATTAAAGGGATTATAACCCAAAGATGTCTTGCCTAAAGGAGATAAAATAAGGCACTGGTTTTAAGTTGCAGGATGCATCAGTGCCTAGGATTGATAAGTAAATAGTTATGCATAAAATATACTAATTAAAAGGGAGGAGAATTAGTAACTGAGGGAAAATACAAAAGGCATTTCATAGAGCCATGTAAACTGGCTATAATGGGGGAAAAAAAACCCAGTAACTGGACAGGTAACTTAAACAGCAATTTGAGGCCTTTGTGTGAAAAGTTGAAAGAAGACAGTTAGCCTTGTTTTCCCCTATTAAGGAAATTAAAGACCGTGTGTTTTTTAAAAGTTGATACAAGATTTCTATTTTTATTAGCTAATATTTTATGTGAGATTATTAACTAGTACTTAAAATCGAAAATAATACATGGACACGGTTTTAAAAAATTCAAATAGATACAAAAGGGTATATAAAAAAGTAAAATCTCTCTCCTACAGTGTGTTCTCCAGAAATTATGTTATTCAACTTCAGACTTCCAGCTTTTAATCCTGATTGCATTACTTATTAGCAAGTGATATCTTGGCTAAGTTACCCAAAAGCCTTATTTTCCTCATCTATAAAATAGAGATAATTCATCCCTAACTCAAAGTTGTTATGTGGATTACATGAGATCAATGTTTACACAAAGATCTTACTGGCAATGGCTGGCAGGTGATGGACACTCCTGTTAGGCACTATAAAACTGGCCCCACTGACCCAGAGCCACATGTAGACTCTGGAATCACTGAGTACAGTAATTAACACAGACTTACAGGGCAGGCACTCTGCTGAGCCCTTTAGGTGCACCTTCTCATCTATTCCTCATGTAAGGCCTTTGACTGGAGTTTAGGAAACAGTAGTAGGTGATGTATTTTAATCAGTAACACTAAACAGTGTTCATTTTCAGATGGAGGGCAGAAGGCTAGAAAGATTAAGTAACGTGCTCAAAGTCCCAACAGATGAAGTACGAGCTTTTCTTACCTGAAGTTGAAAGCATCCTAATTTCAGAGGTATTACTACAGGGAGCAATGTGGCCTTAAGCAGGCTGACAGGATAGCATCCCAGGGGAAGAATCAGATAACGGATAAGGTAAAACAGCATAAGCAGCAGCTGAGAAGGACGTGAGTACATGCCCTTCCCCTCCCCGCCTCCCCTGGGACTCCCACCTACTACAAAGGGGTCTGAGGTTCTGCAGGGGTCTAGGGATGGGGAAGAGCAGGGAGGGTTCCAGACAAACTACTGAAAATAAGGCCTAGTTTCCTATGTAAATTCACTTGTTCTCACGTTTGAGACTATTTCAAATTGGGTGTCTGTGTACCCACTATAAGGCAGATGCTGTGAGGTGCTAGGAAATGGAGGGCATAGATGAATGACAGCAATCTTGCAGAGAAGCTAAGACACATGAGCAAATATGAAAATAGCCGTAAATGCCATGTGGGTACAAAGGTAGTTTACTCCTGCCAAGGAAAACAGGAAGACTTCTGGAGATAGGTTGGTATTTGAGGTGTGCCTTTATAATAGACATGACCTTAGCAGGGAAAGGTGGGTCAAAAGAGCAGTCTGTGTCAAAAGCAATGGGAGCAAAAAGATGTATGCAGGAAAATTCAGACTGGTTCTAGGGAAAAGCAAGTTGCTTTTTTGCTTGGAATTGAAGGGACCATGAAGAGGAATAGCTGGGGAAGACTGGAAGTTTAGACTAAGGAGAGGCTGTAGAAAGCCTTGAACTTCAGGCTAAAGTTTGGGCTTCATTTAATTGTCAAAATGGAGATACCAGTGGTTACACAACATAGTGAATATACTTAATCCTACTGAAGTGTATACTTTAAAATGATTAAAATGGTAAATGGAATCACTGAAGGTTTTCATTTTAAAATATACTTTCTTAAAAAAAAAGATATTAACTTAGTTACACTAAAGAGACTGAAACTAGCTTTCTAGAGCTTGCAGCCCCAAACTAGATATTACCATCTAGTTTATTCATACACTGGCACTGTATTAAAGTTTTAGACCAAAAACTCAGGAAGAACTATATCATTAGTGCCAGTCTTGCAAAATAATACTTCTAAAGGACCTTTAAACTTCAGAGGATAGGTTGGATACAGTGCCCTCTTGCTCCCTTCCTCCCTTCCTTTTCCCTGAATATAGGTCAGAGACTACTCATTGTAGACGTGCATTTACAATACACCGCTAGTAACATGTGAGATTATTTTAGGTGAATATACATTTTTCTTAATTTTAATAGGCATTAATTTTGAAGGCATTAGAATAAACATGCTTACAAATTACATTAGTTAGTATTTAAACTTGGCTGCTCAATAGAGACTAAAAAGATAAGTGTCTTAAACAGAACAGAAATGTACTTCTCTCACACATGGAGGTCCAGGGCACTTCAGTAGTCACCAGAGGCTCAGGCTTCTTTACCTGGGCTCTGCCACCATTGACACAAGTCTCTTATCTCACAGTTCAAGATGGCTGCTCTAGTTTGGTGCAGCCATTATGGAAAACAGTATGGAGGTTCCTTAAAAAACTAAAAATGGACTTAACATATGATTCAGCAATCCCAATCCTGGGCATATATCAGAGGGGATGCTAATTAAAACAGACACATGCACTCCAATGTTCACAGCAGCACTATATACAATAGCCAAAATATGGAAGCAACCTAAATGTCCATCAACAGATGACTGGATAAAGCCATTGTAGTATGTAATACACACACACACACACACACATACACACACATATATATAATACACACACACACAATGGAATACTATTCACCATAAAAAATAAAATAATGCCACTTGCAGCAACATGGATGGACCAAGAGATTGTCATAATAAGTGAAGCCAGAAAGAGAAAGAAAAATACCATATAATATCAATTATATGTGTAATCTAAAAAACCCAACCAATCAAACAAACAAAAATACCCAACACAAATGAACTTATTTACAAAACAGAAACAGATTCACAGACATAGAAAACAAACTACAGTTACCAGGGTGGGAAGGGGAGGGTGGAGGGATAAACTGGAACATTGGTTTGAAGGCCAGAGAAGGAAGCATGCCCAGCAGGACAGCAGAAGCTCTATCCAAAAGGAGGTGGGAGAGGGGCACACGCTGGGGCCTTAACCCTAAGTCTTTAACTTGAACAGTCAACCTTCTCATCTCACCACCTCAGAGGCACAATGACTTACATCCTGGCATTTACACCCATGTGACTACATTTCCCAGCCCTCAGGGTCAAGGAGAAAAAAGGTAGGTGGGAGTAGGGGAGGGTTCTTTGCTAAAGAAACTGATTCAGCTGTTTAGGGAGAACTATAGCAACAAGTACAGTTCTGCACCAAAACAAAGCCTTATGCATTCTAAGTCCAACACTAGCTATCTTCAAGTTTGCCCTAAAGCAAAGCCAGCAAGTCAGAGCACTGTCTGGACTGTTGGTCATCTGTGTTGAAATAACATATGCACTATTTTCATTCTCTCTGAACTTTCCTAAAATGGCACTAAAGGAATAAGAAAGCTATAAACTGACAAGGACAAAAAATGGGAAAGGAGGCACCGGTAGAAGAGAAATGCCCACCAATTTTCAGAAGGTGGAGAGCAATGGAAAGCTAAGTAACTTATTATAAAGAAAAGCAAGCAGAAACTCCAGTGCTCAGACAAGGAACTGCCTTCTGGATGTACGTAATTGGCCCCTTAGAAGATCCCAAGAATTGGAGGCACCACATACCACAAGAGGTGGGGTTTAGGTGTGGGCCTAAAAACAGGGGACTTTGATAGTAGATTGTACAAGGAAGAGTCAAACGCACCCAAGTCTCTACCCTACCCCACACCAAGAAACTATCTTTCCCACTCCTTACTCTCATGGGACATTAGAGGTTTACTTTCAGGAGGAATAGAATCAGAAAGCTTCGGACTTGGGGAGGGTGTTGTTCCCTGGAAAGAAGGGAACTTTAAATAAAAGCCTGCATACCGAACAGAGACCCACACTCCCCTACCCTCTTGCTTTTACTCATTTGGCTCTGAGAAAGCCAGAAGCCAAGTTTATAACACTCAAGGCAGAAGACTTGAGGATTATAATTATTTTGAAAACTCGAATGACTTTAGGGAAATAATTCTGACATTTGGGAATCACTCATTGAGAAACCCAGCTCACCTCCTAAACACTCTACAGTGAAACTCTATTAGTTACATAGCCCTTCCACCCCAGCTTCCAAACAGCTTTGGAGTGGCTCATCACTTAGTGTGAAAGTGCACAGCCACGGAGTTGAAGGAAAGCCTTCAACACAAAAGGCAGAGACTAAAACAAACAAAGGAAACAGAGACAATGCTCAATGCAGAAAACCACAACTTCAAAACACTAATTATCCTTAGAGAGAAACGGAAGAACCTGTAGCCATGAAACAAGAACAGGATGCTATTTTAAAAAAGAAAGAAAGAAAAAGAATAATCAGAGAAGAGCTCTTGAAAATTAAGATGTGGTGGTCAAAATTTTAGCAAGAGAATGACTGTCAAATGAAATTTTCACAGAAGCCCAGTAAAAATAATTAAAATGGTATTTTATTAGCACAAACATCTGTTCAAATATGTGTGCGCAGCTTGAGTGGCTGGGAGTGCCCAGGGGGAGAAGGGCACGTACTCACATCCCTCTCAGCTGCTGCTCCTGCTATTTTGCTCTACTCACATTCCAAATCTTTCTTAGGGTGTTATTCTCACTCTTTTGCCTAAGGTCACTCTTTTGCCTAAGGTCACTGGTGCTCATGTTTCTTAATGTAATAATAGTGATACTATCTCTAAAAATCAAGATGCTTTCGGCTTCAAGCAAGAGAAACTCCTATTCAAACTGGTTTCATTAATAAAGATATTAATTCACCAAATAGGAACTGGGTGTCAGGGCTGGCTGATTCAGTGGTTGGAGAGGGGACAGGGACCCCTGTACTAGTCGATTTCTTAAAAACCATGCACATTTGTCACTTTCACTTTCTTAAAAATGCCATTTGTGCTACAGAAAGAAAACGATCAGATGTACTAAAATGGGCACATGCCAAATTTGAACACATTGGAGACCACTGATGCATTAACGTGTGCTGCCCAATCAAGAAATTTTGTATAGGCCTCCTGCCATGTCTGTGCATCTAAATGCACTTCTTAATGCATCATTGTTGAGGAAGGTCGAAGCACTACCTTTGCCTTTTCAAATTCGAGCCTGTCCATTCTTACGCAGTAGTGCAAGGGACAACACCTCTACAGCACATGTTCACCACATTCAAAGGTCCAGCAAGACCCAGGCAACTGGTCACATATTCTAGTCTTGGTATAATGGTCAGTTATGCAATAATGAATGGATGCACAACAAATTCTGGAGATACTATTTTGGATTCCACTTTGAATATTTCCTGCTAAGCCTCTTTCAGGTTTTTGGATTAAATTTAACTGGGGAGTATCCTGAGACTGCTAGATGTTTTAATTTCTTAAAAATTTACCAATATTTACTAATTTACTGATACTTAGCTGCATCAGTCAGAACTTTTCTCAATACTATGTAATCAAAAACAAAAGGATAAGTAGACCACTGAGGTCTGACAAAGATGGCAAATGTCATCCATGACTCTCAATTTCACATTTGTATCAAAATAGCTTAATTGTATCATTCATTATTTTTATGTATAGTTGTTACAAATCTGAATGTTTAACATACATTTGTCCTAATAAAATGCCATTTAAATTATTTTACATTGGGATTCCATGAAAATTCCGCTTGACAAAATGATTCTTTTACTAAAATATTTCAATACCATTTGCCCACACTGTGCAAAACGAGGAAACATCAGATTATGTTACAAAACCAGTCTGAAAAGTAATCCACTTTTCCTGTAAAGTAATAAATTTTAAGAAGAGTAGTTGCTAGAGATGTTAAAATTTAAAGTTGATGGTGTTAATTTTACACAGTAAAATTTATTAGGATCTATAAGGAAAGTGAGTCAGAGTATATATGGCTCTCCTGAGTTAAATTAAAAGATAGCTAATTTTCAGTTACACATTTTATTTTAAAAATTAATTATATATTTAAAAATTCAAAACAGAACTGGTTACCCACATTACATATTTTACAACATTCCCACCTAAATACTTCCTTTGTGAGATATAGGACAAAAAAAGGATTCAGAGTGAAAAGATGAATTTGAGTTCTGGTACTTAGGAAAGAAATTCATCCTTCAGGTCATTACCATCACAGAATACAACCACCTCCACCAGAGTGATACGAGGAATAAAATGAGTGGTGCATGAGATGTAGTAAACTACTATAAAGTGAGAGTTAATATTTTATTCTTAGGTTTTATTTCCCCATCCTGGACAACATCATGGTCCTGGTTTCACAGAGATTCTCAACAAGGAATCAATATAAAATTATTTTGTAGGTCTAAATTAGTCATATCAATGCTAAGAATCAACCCTGAAACTCTTAAGCTTTTCTAAATTATTCCAATGATGTTATACTATTACGCAAAGGACATATGCGAATTATAAGCAAACTGATCATAGTCTCAATCTATATTGACTCATCACAGTATGTCACTTCAGAAATGAAATGTGACAATGATGCATAGGTAACAGAGGCTTAAAAGATTTTCTAGAAGTTTTTAATGTGTTTTTAAAATTATACTGTTAATGGCAGACTCTTACGAAGATGTTTATGATTATATCATAACAAGCAATTATTTATTGGGACAAAGAAGATACGTTAAAAGATAGATGAATTACAATAATTAAACATGCATAGCTTATTGACATTTTTCTTAAAACAAAAAGACCTGGACATGTCTAAGTCTAGCCATTTTACCATCATCTCTGTTACCAACTGGAATCACATTTTAAAAATTTCTGTGATCTTGAACATCTTGTTAAGTGTTACAGGGCTTTTGTTTTTCTTTTAGCCACTAGATTTTTCAGGAAAAATTCACCTATTCAAGAAAAATAAAAATACATTACTATCAATTTAAAGTACAATTCATAATAATTATACTTCAGTGTTCCCCTTTAAAGAAGACTTCCGTATTTACTGGTGTTTCTCTCTTCTCAAATCTCAATGTCAATAATTTTCTAACCTTATACATCCCCTGTATCTTTGACCCTTTCCCCAACCATAATGATTAGTCATTATTCTTAAAAAATTTTTTTATTATACAGTTTCTAATATCATTCTTTCTAGTAACTCAATATTATAAAGGGTGACCCTATTGTATCAATGCAGTGCTTCTGTACATTTATTCCACTTTATGAGCACTATCTATTCCTCATCACTGACAAAGTACTACTGTTGGCAGAATTCATTTCAGAGAGCAATTCTGCTACGTTATTAGCCTGGACTGATGTTTATAACGCAGACCTCATTGCAGCTGAGCAGATTCATCTGATGGAATCTCTTTAGCTTATTCCCCTTTAGGGAAGCAAGAACTCTTCATTTATAATGGACTTGCTTTTTCTCTATCCTGTAAGATGTGTCTGTGCAGTAAGTTAGCTGCTTGGGTGGGGCATTTTCATCACTTTTCAGGTCAGTAGGGTTCCATTTAGTCTATCACTGTTACAGCATGGTTCAATGTTTATTGGCAGAGCTCAGCACTGACCTTATGAGGAATTTGATGAACTTTTTGTCATCTTAATATATGAGTAGAGTTGCAATGATTGTATCTGTACACAATCACCAAGAATCCCAAGGCTCATAACCTAGCCAAGTAATGGAGCGAGTAACCCATGCTGCCCTACACTGAGCTCGCCGACGTCTGATAGGAGTAGAACTGTATTATCAGATCTTAATAGATCATCTGAATCTAAGGCTCTACATTCCATAATTTGATCTTGTACTAGTAATTTTAAAAGCAATAAAGAGTTCATAATTCTCTTCCTCATAAATGTTAGAAATTCTCCTTACCAAAAACCAAACCAAACCAAAAAACCCTCAACACGAAATAACAGTAAAAAACCCAACAAAAATTAAAAACTCCTTTCAAATGATATTATTCTACTTTAACCATTATGGAAGCTGATGTTGGTTCTAACCTTTATATACATTTTTAGTTTGCCAGCAGCACTGCTTAAAGAAGAATAAGTCACTTATAATTATTGGTTTCCAAAGTCCCCACATCCTGTCAATCAGTGTTGAATCAAATTCTTGGATTTCATAACTAGAATAAGCTGTTGTTAGTACATTAAAATGTCTTCAATTTCTTTATGGGAACACAATGAATATTACTACTACTTAAACATTAATTTTTACAAATAGAATTTATGTCTAATTAAACATATCTATGATTTAGACCTCAATATGTAACACAGCCATTTAAAAGATCATTAATAGTAATAACATAGTTTAGACATAACCAAAAAATAACCAGCTGTTTATTTTTCAAACAATTATAATTATTAAGTCCAATCAGCAAGGGAAACACAATAAATGTTTTTTGGATTAAATTCAACTTTCAGATATGTTTTTACAGACCTTTTGGTGGCATTATCATATGACTTTTTATCTTTTGGAAAAGGCTTTTATTTTCATAAGTCAGCTCAAGCTACTGATTAAAAGAAGAGCTGAAATTACAAAGGTAAAAAATAGCATTGTAGCTAATAAAATTACACTAAACATTTCTATAGAGAAAATAATCTTATGATTTCTTTTCTTTTGCTTCTAGGAGGAAAAACACAAATACATTAATGGTGCAAGCAGCAATGCAGTCAAATAGACACTTATGGTGCAAAGCTCTTAAGGATGCTCCAGAAAAAGCCTTTTTTCCTACCACAAAAGGCAGTCACAGCTATTCTAATTTTAATGTTTAAAACTATGGTCTAAATAAAATCATCCCCTGTAGTCTAACTCACCTGCTTTATATGAAGAACGCACAAGAGGACCACTTGCAGTATAATGAAATCCAAGTTCATTTCCTACCTTTTCCCAGTACTTGAATTTTTCAGGAGTAATGTATTCTTCAACCTAGATTTGAAGATTTGGTTCTGATAAGATTCCAGAATTTTCCTAAATCACCTTGGTTCTATAGAAAATCTACTTGTTGGCCACTCTGCCAGAACGTAATTACAGTGAATTAGCAAGGAGGGGAAACATATCAATTCTGTACTATATTAGCTATTCCAAAAGACAGAAAAGGAAAATGAGATTATCCGTAGAGATTACATCTGTATCATTCCTTTATTGACTAACAGGTATAATTAAGAATTAGTCACGCTTGTAAGATTCTGGAGGACAAGACTGTTACTCATCTTGTGATCTTCTGCTTAGCACTGTGTCTGGTACATGGTCACTACTTAAGAAGAGTTTCTTGAATGAATGAATAAATGTCCAATATAGAGATAGGAAGACTGACTTTTCTTTCTTACTTCACCTCTGGCTCTCATATAACTCTAAAACAAATCACAAGGTCACCAAGTGTGAATGAATGCAATTTCCCAACTTAAAAAACTTTTTTTCGGTATGTTTATTTAAGTCATACAATTTTGGGGGAAGTAAGTGCCAGTGTAGCTGCTTTATGCAGATAATAAAATGCAAACTGGAACTTGGAAAGATACATGGAACGCTATACTAAAAAGTCAGCAGCTCTTAATTTTAGCTATGAAAATAAAGATTTAATTCAAATTACCAATGAACATTTGGTAATTCATGGTAGCTGTACCTTAAGGTGGCGCTTTGTCGGCTGCATATATTGTCCTAAAGTCAGACAGTCCACATCTGCCTCACGAAGCGCTACAGGAGAAGAGCACATGTTGCGTTAGCAGGTGTTTTCACAGAGCTACCTGCATGCACTGTTGTAAAGAGCAGCTTTTAATTACTATTTGAACTTACTACTCTTGAACCAATAAATAACCACAGGTTGGCCAAGGACCTTCAGGTAAAATAAGTTTTCATATTTTAAAATTTAAGAAGCTCAAGAATAGCAAAGTAAGTGGACTTAATGGACTAAGGATCAGCAAAGTCCAAAGCACATCACATGACTGTGCAGTAGCAGGCTCTCCCTCAAAGTCCTGGAACCTGGAACCTTCTAGTCTGTGAACTGTCAGTGCTCGCCAGAGCTCCTGGTACCTGGCTAGTGCTCAAAAGCTGTCTGATGACCGAATAAGAAAAGTGAACAAATCATGTTTTTACTTGGTAAAAGGGTAGGGAATAAAATGGGATGCAAAGTTCATATCCTGATCTTCCTGCACATCAGTCCATCAAGTTCTAAGAAAACATACTTCCTTCCCTTTTTATGCTGCGGTTTATAACTACACACTGTGTACTTCGTTCTTACGGTACTTTCACTGAGACTATGGAGGAAGCATAATAGGTCCTTTAAAATGGGATTTCTACTATTACTCAAATTATGTGGAAAAGTTTTCATTTTTAAATGTCTTTACCTTCCATTGTTGCATATACTTGCTCATCCTTCTCACCTAAACCCAACATTATAGACGTTTTAGAAATTACATCAGGCCGAACCTCCTTGGCGTGTTTCAGTACACGTAGGGACTGGTCGAAACTGGCCCGGGGATCACGAACTTTCCTTGAAAACAGCAGGACTGTTGTCAGCAAAAATAACCACAAGCTCAACTAAGTACGTAATTATGCAAACAACCTGTAAGACCAGAAAAGTACATTCTAGACATTATGTTATATCATATGGTTCATTTGTGCACAAATGACCAACTGTTACTTTAGGAAAGAAAATAAGGCTTCACTGGGCCCCCAGCTCTGCTGGCTTTAAAGACTTAAAGCCTGGAGCAGAGAAAACTAGAATGAAAGTAATTCAGGTTATAAATTCCTCACTGAGAAACCAGAGTTCTGAAGCTGAGAGTAAGTGATTACAAGCAGCAGTCAAGAGAGAAGGGGAAAAAAGTGGAAGAAAATCTCAGTACTGAACAAAGAAAAAGCTGTTGAACCTGAACCTACATTTCAGACAACTGCAACTTTCATGTTCATTTCTTTTCTAAAGACTAAGCTGCCCTCTGCTGGTGTGTATACAACATCGACATCACTTAGGTAAATATGCACGATTCTGGAATTTTCACTGGAAAGGATAGTGTTTCTTAAATGAAACCAGAGAACCTGGCATCCACTTATGGTGGTATCATGAGAAGTGATAGGGTTGGAACAGGCTGTGTGCTAGACTTCAACAGGGGCCAAACCATCAAGGTTTAAATGGCAACAATGCCCAAAGGGCAGAGTCGATGAGGTGTTTAAACCAGCATTCATTTGAATTCTAACACACCTTTATTTTGTGTAATTGATTTGTTGCTATGGTTCTCATTCTTAATCAGGGATCAGTTCACAGGGAAGAGAGGAAACAAATTTATGAATTTAAAAATAACCACAAAACTGATAGGAAAGTAACTACTTTTTTAAAGTATTTCTGCACTGAATTTGTTATGCTCCCTAATGTTTACTTATGATTTGGTGGAAATGCTGGTTATTGTTTATCATACTTCTTTCTATGACACAGAATAATGTGTAGAACCTCATAAAATCACCACCAAATGCTTTATTAAAATAATGAAAATAAATGTATTAATCTTGCCTGAAAATTTTCATTTTTCTGAAATATGAATATAGTCATTGATGTGGAATAACAATCTGTAATTATTCCTAACCTCTAAAATTATTAGGAAGAGTAAGAAAGCATAGTATTTACTTTTTAAAAGAGATTGAAAATACATCTACATGTTTTTCTTCAGCATCGATTATTGCATATATTAGTGCTAAATGCATTTTTTAAAGTTTTTTTTAAGAACTAAAATCAAAGCAATTGCTCTTGCATAATTCTTCCTTTTTGAAAACTGTTCTTTGTAAAAAATTTGCATTTGCAAATTTGCATTGGCATTTGCATTATGATACTTAAAAAAAGAAAGAAAAAAAAGATGCTCACTATATATGTGTACCTAAGTACATACACACATATAAATATGTAAGTATATATACACTTAGATGCTAGTGATTGATATTACTGGGTAGAAATATTATGGGTGATATTTACACACTTTTTTAGGTTGGCTACATTTTCTGATTTTTCTTTAACAGATACACACTGTTTTTGTTTAAAAAAGAAAGTTCACTTTATAGAAGTCAATTACAAAGTTCTCCCCTGAAAAAAGTGAGGAAATACAGCAGATTCTGACCCTTTCCAACACCACTCTGTACATGGAATCACCTCTGTAATTCTGGAACTGTTTCTACATTATGTGCGTATACATCTAATCCTGACAGAGCAACTTTTTCTATTGCTTTAAGATCTCCTCGGAAATCAGGGGTGAGACACTCCACGAGAATTTTTGGATTCCTATGGTGAAAAAGAGAGAAGTATCACACTGAGGAAAAGAACTGACGTAACTTGCTTAAAATAGAAATCACCAGTACCCATTCAGTATCAGTTTCAACACAGTAAGCTTTAGAACCTTGCCAAGAACAGCATGAACATACAAATGTTTACATATGAACTGTTAAGTGGAATTAAAACAAAGAAACCTAGAACATCAAATAATATGTACATTGTGGTTAAAATACATCTGCATGAAAATAATGATCAGAATAAATTTTGGGATCATATACTTTTAAACTTTATTAAGCAGGTATTAAAAAATAAAATTAAAGAAATTAGAATATAAATATTAAAACATTAAATATAAAATAATTTTTTTTAGAAAGTAAATTGGGATATTTCTTATGTGGATATGAATGCTGATTGCTTTAACTTTGATTTATTTTAAAATTCAAATAGTGCCCTCCTCCCTTCCTCTAGGCAAGTATTTCACAAGTGCTATGGTCTTTAAAAACTACTTTCTGAGTTGCTGAGTCATCAGCTTTGCTTAAATGAAATACAAGCTAAACATTAATCTTCCTATTTATATTCTGGCTATATATCTATGCATTCAAGCATTAAAATATGAACTGGGTCATAGAGCTGTTCCCTTTGACAAGCAGTAGAAATGACCAGGACAGCTGACAAATTTTTTCACAAACCCAATTGCCAAGTTTTTTTGGGGAGCTGTTTCATGAAAGAACATGAGAGAACAAATGTATAAAGGACCACATACACACCCTATAACTCACTGTTTTCTTAACTACAAGTTGAGACCCATTAGTAGTTTGTGAAATCAATCTAGGGGGTTGGAAACAAAATTTTTTAAGATGAACTATTAAAAACATAGAAAATATTGGAGAGTCACTGAAAAACACATTTACTGAGTGTGCTAGGTGCTAGACTAGTAATAAGCTGTAGGAAATGAACATAAATGCCTTTTTTAATGCTTTTTAAATAGATGGGATTAAATATTAATAAAATGTGGGTTATGGGTAAAATTCCCAGGGCCTACCAATGTTGATAACATGTATATCGAGATTACATATTCTAACAACGCGAGCTTATCCTATCCTAACTACTTCTAGATGATTATTTATTTAAAATCAGTGCTAGAAAGATTGCAGTTTTACCCTTCTTATAAAATTACTCAAAGTTTAGATTGATACTCAAATATGAAGGAGGGGTTCTGTGCACTAAAGGTCCATGAGTAAGTTTGTGCTTCTGTATCCCTAAAATTTCTGCAAATACGGACCTGTATGTTTCAATATATTTTTTCTGGAGAAGAGGCTACATAATTTCCAGCAGATTATCAGAAGGGTTTATAACCCCCCAAAAGGTTAATAACCACTGCTTTAAGGTAAAGACCTTAAATAAAATGAATTTATGAGTCAGAAAAAGTCCTCAAATTATACAAGCAAATGCAAAAACAAGTACCTTTCCTTTAAGTAAGACACAGTCTTTGCAAAGTGCTCTGCTCCCCCATCAGGCATATCTATAAACAAGAGAGTCCACTGCTTAAGATGACATCACAACTTAGTAAGAGCCAATTTCTGGAAGAGGCAATGATGACACACTAACCATCTCGATCCACAGAGTCAGGACAACATAATCCAGACCCCACTCAGCAATTGCCTTTGCAGTATTGTAGGGCTCATTGGCATCTAGTGGAGGTGGAGTTCTTGCAGTTTTAACAGAACAAAATCTACAACCTCTTGTACATGTGTCACCCATCAACTAGAACAGAGATGTTACAATTTAAATCAAGTAAGCAGATGACCCTGAAGAATGTAATGTTGAGAGAATAAAGTTGCAATTAATGAACAATCTGATTCTGTTTGTAAGAAATTTGAAACATTCAAGGCTAAACAATAGAGTTGAGAAATACAAACATATATGGTAAAACCAGAAAGAAAAGGAAATGATAAGCTCAGAATTAAAAGCAGCATTAAGGATTTTCCCTTTTTCAAAAGGGGAAGCGATTGGGAAGGGATGCACAGAGGGGTTCAAAGATAAGACCAATGTTCTACTCTCAAACTGGAGGTGAGTGTCAGTGTCTGTTGTACTGGTAATCTTTATAACTTACACATAAACTAATAAGCTATAAAGATTCTTTTGTATCTATTTAATACTAACAAAAAGGATTTTAAAAGGAATAAAATATTCAATTAACACACCAACATGCAGATGCCTGTGAAAATTAAACAGAAGGCACAGCTCCAGATGTTAAAGATGAAATAGAAAACACATAAAAACTTTATAATCTGTTTCCTATGCATACTGCTGTTTCTCCAGACACCGCTTCTGCCACCACAGGTCACTACGATGCTCTGCCCCTGGCCAAGTACAGCCACTGCATATGTTCTGGGGCCAATGGAGTTTCAAAGCTCCACAGGAAGGGTTGTGACTGAGGAGAAAGCAATTCTTCCCCTTTATGTTTAACTCTCTCAGAGGGTTATTAGGGCCAATGCGCCAAGGGTAATTAGGGCCAATGTCTCACAGAATTTTACTGAAACAATGAAGTCTTCCCAGGAACCAGTAATGAGTCAACAGTGGGGAAGGGGACTGGGCAAGGGATGAAACCAGACAGTCCCTTCACGGAGTATTCAGAACCACTCCTTTCTTCAAGAATTGACATTGTATAACTTGGATAAGCTCTATGGCCAGCTCTGTATTATTCCAGAAGGAGCTCTATCTCATAAGAATCCTCAATCCTCAGTTCTTCATGTAAATAGTCTCCTGCTGGTACAACTCAACAGCTTATCAGATATTCCCAGGCAAGCAGGAACTTTGAGTTGCACATAATTTAGATTTAACCCAATACCTCAATCTCCAAACCCCTATGGGTAAGTAAATATGGTAGACTGAATGGCTAATCCCACTTCTTACTCCACCATATTAAGATTACATCTCACCCTTTTCCATGTAACTTGCAGGGCCAGCCTACTGGTTGGGGAACTTATGCTTCTACCCCCATTGATGTCTGGCTTGGCCATGTGGCTTAATTTGGCTAACAGAATGATAGTAGACATGACCAAGCAGAAGCCTCAAAAGTGCTTTAGATGGTTGGCTTGCTCTCTTGTGCTCCTTCCATTTCCCATGTTAAGAATATGCCTTGGAGAGCTGCTGGAACAATGAGAGAAAGCTCTGTAGAGTAGATCTGAACCCAACCTACTTCCTGGAGTCCAATTTAGCCCAGTCAAGATCTACTGAACACAGGTCAACTGAAAGACCCATGAGAGAGATAAATAAACACTTGTTATTTGGGGGCAACATGAATAACAATTTAAGCAATCATGAACACTATTTCCAAAAATTAATAGAATGGCGATCTCAAGGCAGCATACAATTAACTATCAGGTAGAGGGAAGAATCACAATAGACGTATGCAGAGAAGGGTGCAATCGTAACAGGCTGGATTATTCTGTCAGATTTTTTTCCACATTTCTTATAAACTCATATGTAACCAAAAAATCTCATCAGAGATTCATAATGCACATTTGTAGGAGAAAGACATAAAGTATTTCCTTTCAGTTTGTAGACTAAAGCTTTAGAATCTGAGGCTGGCCTTACCATGATAGTGGCTGTGGCGGTGGCATGTTCTCCACCTCCCCAGCACTCTCCAATATTGGGACATCGAGCTTCCTCACACACCTGTGTGTAAAAGGGAACCGAATACAATCAGATTGAAAAAATATTCAACAATTGAGCAAATTAGTGATCAGGTATTTACATTCTTTACAGCATATATATGAAGAAATTCACTATTCAAAAATGCCATTAAACTGCGAAACTATATAGGTGTTAGGATTCCATGCTTAAATTAAAAACTATATGATTGTATCTATTTTACATGTGCAAAGAAAAAGGTCTGCAAGGGTATATATTGAACTGTTCAAGTGATTTAACAGTTAAACATTTGAGATTGTGTATATGATGTTTCACATTTAATATACTTTTCCCCACAAATTTGTGGGAAATGTACTTAATTTGTGATATAAAACAAACAAACAAAACCCATTCCATAAGCAGCAGAAAAAAAAATTTTTTTGTACTATTGGTGAGAGGTTAAGAAATACAATTAATTGTTTCTTTCACAGGGAAAATAATTTTAAAATGTATTTCCATTACTGAGAATAACATATTACTAAACATCTTTGTTTAGTTTCCTTGCTGTTATAGGTACATATTTTACTAATTTTTAAGTTACATATATGGTAACATTATGGCTCTTAGTAGAGGGATATTTAACCCTTTGACAACTTACTGTATGGAGATTTAAGTTTCGTAATGTATTTTTCAGTTTATTGTAATTTTTCCCCATGGGAATCTCTGTCTTTAGCCATGGAGGTAGTCTTAATCTGAGGAAAACCAAATATAATTATGCATTAACAAATACGTTATCAAATAATCACACAGCTTTGATGTTACCTTCCTCTATTACAATTTCTAGTTAAGAATTTTTTCAGCATAATCCTGGATTAACCCTTTAATTTCTGCCATAGGAGTAATAACAGAGAATCAAATTTAGGTTTGCTTAAACCACTGTAGAAAACACCCATAATTGTGTCTAACAGAGACACGCATACAGGGAATATCTAACTATTCTCATGTCTACCTTATGCAAAGGCACAAAGAACACCATCCAAATTTAAAAAATGAGGACGTTTTGAACATCTCATTCCCCATTGGGTAATATGAGTAAGGAGAGATCCCACAAGTGTAATTTCTGCTCTGCATTCCAGATTTTGATAGATATTAAATGGAAAGAATCTGAAATTTAGAGGGAAGACTATGTATCCTCAGGTTCCCCTTGAATTCCACCCACTTGTGATCTAGAAGTTGTCAGGTAAAATATTTCTCAAAACAGTTTACTCCACATGAAATTCTCTCATCATTCTTTTAAATTAAAGCAAGCTATCCATAGATCATTTGTACAATGACTAGAAGAAGCAGTAAGTTAGATGATAACATCTAGCAACAATAAAAAAATGTATTTAAAAAACTTATCAAAGTCTCATAGACTAGCAGCAAGGTGATAATCTTTGCTCTCTAAAGAAAGTTGTTGCTGGATGGAAAATGGGAGATGGATGTATAGGATGGCTAAGCCCTAGGAAGGTTAAGAAAAACTGTCAGAAGGCACAGAGAAAAGAAAAGGATTCCAACAATTTCACCTACTTACCTGTTCAGTCTATATCTGTTATTACTTCTTTCTAATGATTTTTAGCTAAATTTAACAAGCTGTTTAAAAATATTTTCAAGGGCTTGGTTAATCTAAAAATAATGCACAATGAAGGAATTGGGACATTGTAATTATCTCAAAATTTCAATTACCTTTCTCCTTTCTGGCGTTTTAAGTTTCCTTTATAGTCATCCCAGGTGCTCTTGTCTGCAAGATCACCAGACACAAAATCCTGAAGGTCTGGTCCATTCTGTAAAAATTCCTTTTTTTTATCTGGCAAGGAACTTACTGCTCTGACTGGACTGTGTAAATAACTTCCAAATACCTAAAGAAAGAGATCATTATGACATTTATTTAGTGGCGTTTGGAATAATTTAGTCTTAACCTATCTTGATAACTAAAAGTTAGGGTAAAATCAGAGCATGGATTCGGAAATTATGTCAAACTATTTACAAGCTCTGTGTAGGAGCTTAGAATCTAAGATTAAAGAGGACCTAAGGGGAACAAACCAAATCTAAAGGAGAATGGGAGCCAACCATGTCCTGCTAGATTTAGAATAAATTTGGAAGCCTTTGGAACTGGCTAACATGTCACATTTTAATATAACCCTTTTAGGTACTAAAAGTCTGTCTTTCAAGTTCCAACTGCAAATACAGGAGAAGATGGAAGAGTTTTGGGAAACCAAACCTAACGTTTTAATTTTCTAGGTTACATGCTGTGTTTGAACAAGGAAGTCATTCAATATATATTTGTTGACTACAGGAAGACATCGGCTTCTAGATTTGAATACACAATGTACAAGACAGGCAAAATACTGTAACACTCAAGAGTCAGTACTTGTAACGCAAAAGAACCTTCAACAATTAAAAAAAAAGGTGCATTTAGGGTGCTGCACGATTGTCACTGTACTTGCCCATGTCTCCCCCTCAAGCCTAGAGCACATATTTGTGTTTTAATCGCCCGCAGTGTTGTCTAGTACACAGGAAGAGCCCAACATAAAGTAGTAACTTGGAGGGCTCACTGCAGTGCTTCAGTAAATACAGAGTACAAGTCACTGATAAAGCAAGAAAGCTCTCAGTGCCGGCCAGAGAGACCTATAGACAAACCAACGCCAGAGATTTTACTTCATGGGAGTATCGGAAGAATTAAGTGAGACACCACATGAAAAAAAGGTTTAGAACGGTACCTGGCTACAAGTAAACACTCAGTGCTGGCATTATTGGGTGATCTAAAGGGACAAGAACCCTCCCACCCACGCCCTCATCCTACTCGCACCGCCGCTCACCTGGGGGCCCACGGTGCGGACGGCGCCCCCGCAGCGTAGAGACATCCTGCTGTCTTTTCTCTAACAGGGCTGAGCAATCACTAATTCCCGGGAAAAGAGAAGGACAAACCGTCGCTCGGTTTATGACAGACAACCTGACTGACCCAGTGGAACTTGAGCTACTCCGCGATTGGCTGCTTGGGCCTCAGTGGCGTCGCGTGCTTATGACGCCATACGCAGGCCTCATACAGGCTACAAGAACGTGATGACGAAAGACGCTCTCTCTTTGCCGCATCTACTGCGAGGTGAGGCTGGTTCTGTAATCGGTGGGCTTTAGGAATCTGAAGCCATCGGCTGTGGGACAGCCAGCGGCGCGGGTCTGGCCTTTGGAAACTCTGTCTTGGTGGTCCCCCCGCGCGGCGAGCGCCATATGAATCTGGCGGTGCTGGGGTTCGAGCCCTGTACTGGGTTTTCAGGCCTACCCGCCGCCCCTCAGCCTTGCCAGGTCGGGTTGGTAGGGTTGCTGTGAACGGGAGTTCGCCCACTAGGCTCGTAATACCCGCCTAGAGCTGCTGCTTCCAGGCCAGGGCGCAGCGGGGCCGCTCTCCGTGGTGGTCCTCCCGCATCTTCCCCGGGCTTTCCCCCTGCCGGTCTCCGGTGGGAGTGGAGTTCCGGGCAGGGTAGTTTGGTCGAAAATAGGTCCTGCGCGTCCTTCTTACCCTAGGTGTTTGTGTTTCAGAATGAAGACCATTCTCAGCAATCAGACTGTCGACATTCCAGAAAATGGTACGAGACTTGATGTTTTCATTTTCTTGCATCTTTATTACATCCTCTATACCTTATTCCGAGGTCTCACGAATACGTTCTCTCCTAGTCGACATCACTTTGAAGGGACGCACAGTAATTGTGAAGGGCCCCAGAGGCACCCTGCGGAGGGACTTCAATCACATCAATGTAGAACTCAGTCTCCTTGGAAAGAAAAAGAAGAGGGTGAGTTTGTTTTTGTCTTGACACCTCAGATGCTTGTTTGGAAGGTTGTAATTTAAGAGCATCAGATTTGGCTGCTTTAAAAATGCACAGAATTGAGGTTCGATGTTTTAGCTTAAAATTTGGTGTCCGGAATTGTAGCTAGTATCAGTGTTGTTGCTTTCGAGAAATTGGGAAACCAAATTCTGAACAGAGTATAATGCTCAGTACTACAGCCATCATTAGTAGCAGGTCTTAATACTGTTACACGTTAAGTTTACTTTTCTCCTGGTTGTTTTATAAGAATCTTAGGGACATCCCAGTAGGTCTTTTAAACCTGGTATTAGCTTCCCAGAAGTGAAGTTTGATGCAACTTAAACAAAAATCAGTGTTCCTGGGTTGTCATTTCTTTGTGAAAGTGTGTACCTGTGATGTATAGTAACAAAAATGTTTGAGTATTGAGGGCTTTATGTGTAGTTGATATTTTTCCCCTTGAAAATCATGGGCTTTAATTAGGGCAAGTATTAGAATCTATAGCCTGTTTGTTACTGGAAAGAATTTTCTAACATTTTTATCCTTTTTCAGCTCCGGGTTGACAAGTGGTGGGGAAATAGAAAAGAACTGGCTACTGTTCGCACTATCTGTAGTCATGTACAGAACATGATCAAGGGTGTTACACTGGTAAGCAGATTAAGCCCAAATGGTCTCATAGTCTTAATAGTATGCTGATGGTGTTTTATCCACACAGATAAGATTCACATCTTCAGGGTGTGTTTTTTAAAATAGAAAATGTAACACTTAGATTGTTTAAGTGCCTCTCACCACTAGGGCCTGTTCTAGGGATCCTCCCTGTCCATTTCCCTAAAGACATTTGAGGTCACTATTCTTTCTCCACGCCTCCCCCAGCCTTTAAGATACAGTTCATGCTGTGACTTTTGAAATGGTTTTTTTTTTTCTTTAAAATTTTGCCCTTCTAGAGCGCACCTGATAATGGCACCTTGTACTTAATTTCATTATAATCTTATCCTTCAATGTTTCCCCTTGCCCCCAGGTTAAGCTTCTTTAGAGCCGGGCTGTCTTTTTCTTTTTTCTTCAGTTCTTGCATACCTTAGTAACTCAGTACATTAGCCTAATGCCCAAGATGAAGGGCTTTGGGATTCTCCTTTCTTAGGAATACAGTTGTTTACTGTGGGCGTAGGAGGTAGTGAAATACAGGCTTCCTTAGACTGGGGAGACAAACATTTTTAGGTACACAATTTTTGTAGAGCTTGGTGTAGATAATACTGTTACAAAACCTTGACAGTGAGTGCTTTGTGAGGACAATTTCGATTTCCTTTGTTGGAGAAGAAATTTTCTTCTACCCTTTTAGGGTTCTTCTGGCTGTCTAAGAATTAAATTGTCATATGGCAGATTAACAGGAGAAAAACAGTTTAATAATGTATATACATGGGATTTACCCAGGAAAACTGAATAACTTACCAGAATGGCTGAAGACTTGACCTTAAGATCCTCAGCTAAAAACAAGGTGGGGAGAGTCAGTTATGGGGAAGCACAGTTAACAAGGCGATTGTGATGCAGATTTAAGTAAGTCTCCGTTGATAACGTCTAGAGATTTGGTCATCCTTTACCAGGTAGAGAGGGAGACTGTACTGATAACTGTAAATGTTTCTTACAAAAGAACAACTACTTGGTTTTCAGAGAAGAAAATTGGTTTTTGTTTTCTTGTCTTAAAATTTTCTCAGCGTTGCTCATGGTTTATTTGCTTAACTTAGGGCTTCCGTTACAAGATGAGGTCTGTGTATGCTCACTTCCCCATCAACGTCGTTATTCAGGAGAATGGTTCCCTTGTTGAAATTCGAAATTTCTTGGGTGAAAAATACATTCGCAGGGTTCGGATGAGGCCAGGTATGGTTCAGAAATTTTCTTTCTACTTCTAAAGGCTGATATTTGGAATTTGCTATAAATAAACCAGATTTATTTCAGAATTATCTATTTGATTATGGCTTCATATCATATTTATACCAATTTTGAGTCCTGAAGGCTTACATATTGGGGTAGTTTGCAAGGTGTGATAGCTAGCTGTGTTTAGTTTTGTAAACTGAAATCCTAATAAAAGACCATTTGAATAGTAGTTAATGACATAGACTCTGGGTTCAAAGCTCTCACTGTCAACCTGGGGCAGATAACTTCTGTGTAGCTCATTCTACTGATCGGTACAACTGGAAACATCTCATGATTACATGACTTAAAATTGAAATACACTTAAAATAATTCTTGTCTGATACATAATTAATACTGAAACATTAGAAAATTTGTGCTGTCGATGCTTTTTGATTCCATTAAAGTGGGGAGGGATGGGAAGTACACAGTTCTAGAAGAATATTACATGTTGTCAGCATTGGTCAACAACACTTAATCCTTATGTAAAAAAATAAGCTTTGAGGGATACCAAATATTTGCAGTTGAAGTAGGACTGGATACAAAGCTTTGTACAGCTAAATCAATAGCTGAATACCATCTTATAACTCCTTAATTGAATAATAGTCTTTAATCAGTCTGGAGAGATTCATCCAAGAAGGAACATAAGATTTTGGCCCACGTAAGTCAGATTCTGTTATTTTTTTAAAGTTTCATTTGGTGTGTAGAATATTAAGTGAAGTAAATTGCTACTTAAATACTTTTAAATTAAATATTCTACAAATCTGTATGTAGACACTGCAAATGCTCTCTTCCCTTTTAGGTGTTGCTTGTTCAGTATCTCAAGCTCAGAAAGATGAGTTAGTTCTTGAGGGAAACGACATTGAACTGGTATCAAATTCAGGTTTGTATGTTTACTGTGCCTAATTATACCTACAAAATTTTATCTAAATCTTGTAGTTGAATATGTGGTATATGTTCACTTGGTGAGTTTTTTAAAACTAGGGGACTCTAGTTAAAAGCTATCCCAAAGATTCTTGGGTTTTAAGTATAGCATATAATAAAATACTTTATTTAGATGAGTTTGGCTGATGAAGAATTGCCTTATCCTTTTCACTTTTCTAGCTGCTTTGATTCAGCAAGCCACGACAGTTAAAAACAAGGATATCAGAAAATTTTTGGATGGTATCTATGTTTCTGAAAAAGGAACAGTTCAGCAGGCTGATGAATAATATTTAAGGTAGGTTCTTGTGTCTATAAGTTTTATTACTGCTTTAGGGGGGGTTTAAAAACTTCAAACTGGAGTTGTAATGGCAGAAAATGGAGAGTTGCATTCTGTAAATTTGGCAAAATAAGAGAATTGATATGTTTTTCCTGTGAACCAATAATTCATAATCTTAAAGTGTGTTTTAGGTTTATTCAGAATACAACTTTTCCAGGCAGGAATATTGATGGAGATTTACAGACATTTTCATTTCTTTTTACAGTTGTCCGGGTACAGAAAGAGGAAGATGCCAGATGACTCTTCAGATTCATTTGTAATATCTTAAGGATAAATAAAAGCTGTGTTGATTGGGACTTTTTCTTAAACTGATTGTTGTTTCCAACTATTTGGTCAGTAAGCAGTTAAGTAAGTTCTAGTGTGCTAAGAACAATAACAAATAGTTTTTTTTTTCTAGTGAGACAGTAGGAGTCTGGTTTTGAAGAAATATTAAGGGTATTTCAGGCAAGGGGAATACAGGTACTAGTGACAGGTGTATCAGTAACTTGTGAAACAGCACCTGGGAAGTGAAACAGTGATACAGCCTTAGTAAGAATTAGAAGATGGAGTTAATTTGTATTCATAATACAGTTGCTGTGGTCCACGGTTCTTAGTCTTGCCATTTACTCCTGTGTCTTAGTCCTTGATACTTTTAAAAAAAGAAACAAAACTGATAATCTTACTGTAATCTCTTTAATTCCGTGTGTCATGCTTTAGATAAGCTACCATACTAGACTATCTTAATAGGGTAACCCCCAAACCTCTTCCTGTAGTCTTCCCATTTTATTTGATGGAAACACCAGCCTTGAGTTCTCAGGCAAAGCGTAACGTTCAACGTTGATTTCTCTTATACGTATGTGTCCAATCCATTAGAAAAATTTGTAGGCTCTGCCTTTTAAGGTAAGATCAAGGATTAAGCAAGAAAAAATAAAAACCATTTGGAATATATGATGGATCTTATTAAGATCTTGATTTAAACGAATGAAGTTATTTTTTATAGTAAAGAGTTAATCTTTGCTTTGATGATGGTTAAACTTTTAAAGAAATAGATGAAATGGTAAATAAAGCTTTTGCTTTGAAATATATGAGGTGAGGTTTGGGGTAGGCGTTGAAGTTCTAGGGTTTTAATTCATTGTTGTTGAAGCTGAGCCATGGGGATTTACTGTACTATTCCTGCTTGGATAAAGTTTTGAAATTATTCATAAAAGATGAAGCCAAAAACCGTTTATATTTCACCTGGATTAGTGGGATAGCCATTTAACTGATCACCTCCCCCATCTGTTCTCAGCAGTTGCCAGAAACATTTTCATACTTTCAACTTGCCATCTTAACCAGTCTGACTACATTACGGCTAGATTGACCTCAATTAACCTTATAATACCATTGCCTTAAAGCCTGAAAGTTGTCATCCTTTTGGAAGTGTGTTGTTTCCCTTTGGAGTGACAACTTTTAAGTTTACAAATGTTTTCAGTGAAGCCTACTTTGTCCACCCTATTAATTGTGCTCACTCCTTATCCCCGTCCTAGCATACCCTTACCCTACTCCACTTTTTTATAACATAGTATTTATAGTTTTTATGGATTGTACACTTTTTTCTTGCTAGAATCTAACCATGAAGATGTGGTCTTTTCTGGGATATTCCAAGTACCTGGAACAATGCCTGGCACATAGCTGTTTGCTGAGTGAATGGTGCCCAGGTTGCCAGGGAGATTCAAGTTATGGAGACTCAGTAATGGCAATGAGATTAGATGTTTTGGAAGGTATTGACAGAGTTTCAAAGTTAAATTTGAGGCTTGAGAAAGAAATTTCCAAGTAGCAAAGGGATAGAGGTGTTACAGTTAAAGAGTATCAACGTATAAGCAGTCGCAGCTGCAGAAGTAAATAATTCCAGGAGTGAAGTGGATTGGTATGGGGCCTTCACAGGATAACTACTGAAGGTTGGCTGTAGCTAGTGATTTACATTTAATAACTTGGATGTGGTAAATGAAACTTGTTCTTCCCAGAGAAGATTTCCATGTTTTCTGTGTCTGCTATGGAGAAGCATGTGTGTGTGTTGGGTTTTGTTTTGTTTTCCAATTTTGTGGTATAGGAGTCCACATAGTGTAGTGGGAAAACATACCTAGAAAGCAAGCTTCCCATTGGCACATAGTTTCAGAGGATGGGGGAGGTAGTGTTGGCAGAACCCAGTTAAAAAACTAAACCTGTTTACATTCCACAGTTCTTAAAATTTACCAGATTGTTAGTTGAATATGAACAATCAGCATAAACCAGTTTATTTGGAATAAATTACATTGAAAATTAAACATTCAGTCACAATGTACTGACTTCATGATTCAGAGGCTTTTTGAACGCCATAGTCGTGATGTATCTATGTCAGACTTGTTAGTGAAAGACAGGATTGTTTAATTGAATACAAGGAATGTAACAGTATACAAAGTAACAAGTTAGATTTTAAGATTTTTTTTTCTTCTCTCAGAAAAGCTTGAATTCTAAAGCTCTTGTCCTGTCAAAAGCTATCAACAGTTTCTAATTGACCCTTCATGATTTTTAAATGAGTCTAAGAATAGTACAACTGATCATGAGCTGGATTAAATATTTACCTAGGGATTCTTATATGATGATGGCTTAAAAACTAGTATGATAATTCCCAAGTGGCAAAAAGGGAAGACGGTAAACAAAATAATCATTGAAGTATTTAAGATCAAGAAAGCAAAACCTTAATTCCAAATCTGTTATGAGTGAAAATGCATTTTTTTTCTCAAAACCCTGAATGTTAATGGTTAAAAAGTTGAGTTGTTCATTTGGTATTCCATAAAATTAACACAATGACTAGCTACTGTACTTGTGTATGGCCTCAGGCCCACTTAGTTCTGAAAGAAAAAAATAGAAAAAAATATCCTTGCAAAGCATAACCTAAAAACTGCTAAGGTTGAAGGAGAGGTGCAAGTAGGGGCAAGGAGACTAGACAAAAACACATCTGCAAAATTGTTTAGTATTTGAATTGGCCAGCCAAATAGCAAATTGATTTCCCGTCACTTTTGCATTTGTTTGCATTGACCAATTGTGTTATTTCTCTCTGAAACTTAATGCTATTAATATCAGTTAGAATCCCAGTTATGCAGGAAAGAAAATTTTTCCTTTGAGTAAATTCCAGGAGGGGCGGACAATGAGTAGTTAAATACTGACTCACCTAAAGAAAGAATGTGTATAAATGGATTTACGTTCAAGTTTTCTTCCTCCAACACTGAACAAACCTTACATACGGAGTTCAAGCAAGTCAACCTCTGTAAGTTCAGATTTAAGAATCTACTTAATTCTAGCTTCAGAAATTGTAAGAACAGTTCCAACTCATTCAGACCATCAGCTTTCTGAATTGCATCCAAAGAGTCTCAGTTTTAGGTCCACATACGGCTGCATTCTATACCTCGTGAGGCCCCTAAGTGCCTATGGTGTCAGAACAGTAAAGCATTTTAGGGGAGAGAGTAAGTCTTACAGGATAAATGGTCCTTTGGTAACTTGGTAATAAAACTACATCTTTTTTTAAATGTTTAGCTTTACTAAGTATGCTACACCTTGTCACCTCACAAAATTCAAGTGAGGAATGTCAATTTGTCTAAAGAGGTGGCTATACTGTGAGGTTGAGTGACTACCTTGTGTTGATAGGCAGTTGGGTCTAGCTTTCTTTCATCTTATTTCTCTGATCTTTCCATGATGAGTTATGGAAATTAAATGGTTTTTTTAATGATAAAAGGAGAGACAACAAAATTAGGTGTTTATTAATGGTTAATTATTTTAATTTCTATTAGAAACTTAAGAGATCGATGTGCTTAAGAGTACTGTAACTGGCTATAGACAAGCACTACTTACCCTATTTTCTCTTTCCATTTGAGAACCACCCTGACCTAAGGGGGAAAGCACCTTGTTAGAAGTGACAATTTATTACTGGCTATCCAGTATTAAGAGTTTTAAATCTCTGTAGTCTTTTTTTTTTAAAATGTTATTTGGCGGGGGGATAATTAGGTTTGTTCGTTTATTTTAATGCAGGTGCTGGGGATTGAAACCAGGACCTTGTGCATGCTTAGCATGCCCTCTACCACTAAGCTATACTCTCCCCATGAATGGAGTCTTAACAAAGTTGTACTTTTTCAAAACAATTTCTTTTATCATAAGTAGCTATTAGTGTTTTCAGAAGAAAACTAGGGAAGAATAATAGGAAACAGCTCATCAAACTCCATGAAGCAAATTTGATAGCTTACTGTCTAGGCAAAGACTTTATCTTCAGATCCAAGAACTGAATTCACTGATGTCAACACCTAAGGGAAAATCAGAACCACACAGCAGAGACGTCGATTGTCATTACCTTGGCTATCACTAATACCTTAAATTGTCTTTTTTCTACAATAAAGGTGTATCTTCTGTAAGTTAACCAGTATATGGAACTGGAGTGAATTTTTAAACTTTCCATCATGCAGACAGAAAGAGGATCAGTTTAACTGGAAACTCTCTTGTGGCCTTTCTTTAATGGTATGTGTTGTAAGTTCTTTGCTTTCCAAAATTTTCTTCTCCTTCGCTTGTGAAAAATGGTAACTGATAGAAGTAGAACTAGGGTGGAGAAGAAACAACATCCAAAAAATATCAGCGGTTTCTTCTGCATGAGAAACAAGCAGACGATACACTCCGTGTTTCTTTGAGTCTGACTGCATCTAGGACTACTGTTCCCAGAAAGGAAGCCATTGTTGCTGATCAGTTTGTTGTAAAACTGGATTGAGGATTTAGCTTTGAAATCAGATGTGAAGAATCCAAATCTGGGTCTAGATTTTTCTTCAGTCAGTTTGAATGCATAATAGCCTTTGATTTTGACTTTATCAGTCAGGTATGCTGAAAAATAACAGAAATGAACATTATAAATCACAAATGGACTATAAAATATATTTGAATAAGAATTTAGTTTTCATTGAAACAAACTCATAAAAAGTGATTTTCATTGAAGGTTTTTTTGACATTCTTTTATGGTTGATCTTACTTAAGGTGAAAATATGTATGGTAATGTAAGTTTACAAAGAAATTTGAAGTAAAACTTTATAAATAACAAACACCTGAGGGAAAAGCAGATTTAAGAATTGGAACCATGAAGGTCACATGATACTGTTACTTCTGTTCAATGTCAAAAGCAGGAAAATCTTGCCTGTTTGGCCTGATTCTAAATCTCAGATGTGCTCTTTTGTTGCTGCCCTATAACCATACGTGGTTTCCCAGCTCTCCTACTTGACACTTTCCTACCTACTCTCTGTCCTCAAACCTACAGCACCTCTGTCCTTATTTGAAGTGATGACCATCCTCCTTACTTTGCTGAAAAACTAAAGCACTTAGAAAGTCAGTCTCCTACAATCATAACTACCCATATACTGGCATCTGCACTCATTCTCCCTTCTCTCTCACTGTGGATGACCTGTCCAAGCTCCTAGAAGAGGCTGACCTCCACTTATACACTGTAAGTTTATTCTTTCTTGCCTATTCAAGGACATTGCTCCATTGTTTTCCCTTCTCTTTTCTCATGTATTTTTCCCTCACTACTGGATTGTTACCATATAAAAATGCTGTAACTTCTGGTATCTTAATAACCAAAAACAACAGCCTCCTTTGACTGCACATCACCCTCTAGTTATCTTTTACATCTCTGGCTCCTTTTATTGGTTTCTCATCTCTCTGACTTCTGGATATATATATATAAATATTTTTAATAGAGGTACTGGGTGTTGAACCCAGGACTTTGTGCATGCTAAGCATGTGCTCTACCACTGAGTTATACCCACCCCCCACAACCTCTGAATATTGAAGTATACCAGGGCTCAGCCCCCTTTGTGCTTGCTGTTTTAGGGCTCTCATTCCAGCTTTATTGTTTTAAATACATCCATTTGCTCTTGATTCCCAAATTTGTATCTCAGCCCTAGACCTCTCCTCTGAACCTGAGACTCATCTGTTAGCCAACTTTGCATGTAGCCTACTTGGCATCTCTAATTGGATGTCTAAGAAATATCTCAAACTTAATCAGTGGAACACCAAACAACTCATCTCCAAAAACCTGTTGCTACCAGTCTCCCTCAACCTGGTAAATGGCCACTCATCCTTTCAGTTACTCAAGCCAAACTGTTGGAATCATCTTTCACTCTTCTCTCATACCCACGTCCAATCCTGTTGACTGCCTTCAAAGGCAGGCAGAACCTAGACACTACTCACCATCTCCACTCTTAATAACCTGATCCAATCCACCATTATCTCTTACCCAGACCAGTGCAACTCTCACTGTGTGAATTCTTGCTCCTTTACAATGTATTCACAAAAGAGCAGCCAGAGTAATTCTTTTCAAGTGTGAGATCATGTCACGCTTCTGTTTAAAACATTTTGGAACCTTCCTATCTCAGAGTAAGAGCCATAGTTCTTACAGTGGCCTACTAAGCCCTACCTGATTTGCCTCTTCCCTTCCTTGACATCATCTATTACTTTCCCCGTTGCTCATGATTTAACCATTTTGACATCTTTCCTGATCCTCAAATAGGCCAGGCATGCCCCTACTTTAGGGTTTTTGCATGTGTTCTTCTCTCACCTGGAACACCTTTGTTAGGTAACTACCTTGTTTTTTGCCCCAGTTCTCCAGATCTTTGAAGTTCTCTGACCACTCTTTTTTTTTTTAAGTATAGTCAGTTACAATGTGTCAATTTCTGGTGTACAGTATAACCACTCTAGAATTGTAACCACTTCTATCTTCCACCCTTGGGCATCCTCTTTGCTGCTCTTCTTTTCACCTCTGACACACTCTATCTTACACTTGTTTGTTGACCCTTATCCCAAAAAACCGTAGGCCCCGTAAGGATGGTAATTTTTATTTTGTTCAGTGGTGATATAGTGTCCAGAATAGTTTTTGCCCATATTAGCTGCTCAATAAATATTTGCCAAATAAGTGAGTAAATTTCTGGGAACTTTTTGCAGCTTCAACAAATTGATCATGGAACATTTAAAAATCACATTTTAAAAAAATGTGATAATAGCCAGTGCTGGGAAGAGTATGTGAGATAAGCACTCACAAACACTGGTGTTTATTATTTTTTAATATTTGACCCAATAATTCCATGTTGGGCAATCCATCCTAAAGAGGTCATCAGAAATGAAGAGAAAGATTTATATACAATGATACTTATGTTTTAGTAGTTAAAAAACCTAAATGTCAAACATTAGAGAGTGGTTAAGTACACAGATATATCCATATGAGATATTAAGCAACCATTAATGTTAACAAGGAACTTCTAATAACATGGTACACATTTATAATGTGATGTTAAGACAAAAGTTGGCTACCAGACTATTACAGTGTAAGCTCAATTGTATTAAAGATGTCTAGCCAGCAGAAGTCTGGGTGCTTTTGTTGGGGGAGTGAGATTTCAGGTGTTTTTAAAATACTTTTCTATACCTGTCAAATTTTCCATGGTGAAGTGACACTGTCACTAATGAACCTGTTCCCCTCATTCTTTTAATATTAACTAGGAATGTCATACTCCACTGTGTCTGAAATGCCCCTAGAAACTCACCTTTCAAAGCCTCCTGAATGTATTTCTCTAAGTAGTATTTTCGGAGTTCATCATTTTCCAGGGACTGGTCGTCGATGCCGCTGGCTGTGATGTAAACATCCACGTCTCCATAGTTCTTCCGGATCCACCTCAGCACCTTGCGCTCTCCCCAGGGCATCACGGCCAGGCGGGTAGGGGAGCTCAGGCAGGTAATGTCCTGCAGGAACTGGATGTCCCTGTCCGCGTCGTAGCTGCTGCCGTTCTGGCGCTTATGCATCACGAACCTGGTGGTGAAGTGGTTCAGGGCGTAGAAGTCGGCAGTGCCCTTGACCAGCTTCCTCTCCTCCTCGGTGAACTGAGGCAGCGTGGAGCGCGAGAGCCCTTGCCTGTTCTTGAAGGCGATGTACTCCCTCATGGCCAACGGGTAGTCCCCGGTCTTGAGGGGTTCTGCGAACCAGGCGATTTCAAACTGGAGGAAGCGCTCGGCCGCCCTCCAGTGCGAGTCGGCGTAGGGATTGGCGGGTTCGGCCCAGTCCGAGTGCAGAGACAGCGAAACGGCCCCGTGCTGCGCAGGCCTGTACTGCCGGTCGTAGAGGTGCCAGACCCGGGCGTGGGCGATCAGCAGGTTGTGGGCTGCCCAGTAGGTGTCGTTACTTGTGCGGTTGTAGATGTCACTCAGCCGGTTAGGCTCGTTGATGGTGATCCAGAGCTTCACCAGGTCCCCCAGCTCCTGGAAGCACAGGTCTGCGTAGTCCTGGAAGGCCTGGGCGGTGGACCGGTTCAGCCACCCGCCGCTGTGCAGCAGAGGCGCGGGGAGGCCTAGGTGGGCGTGGGTCGGATAGTACAACGTGACCATGGAGGAGATGTTGAGCTTCAGCCCCTCACTGACGATACACCTGTAGTACCTCAAAGCCTGTCGGTTCACTGTGGACAGTTTGCCAGTGGGAAGGATTGAAGGCCAGTCCAGAGCAAACCTGTAGTGGGTGACTTTCATTCTTGCCAACATCTCAAGCTGTCTTTTGATGCTGACCAAATCCGTGCACTGAGCTGGCCGTGTTTTCAGCCTCACTCCTTCCACTCGGTGCAACAGTCTGTTGCCCGTCACATTCCACACATACAGGTGAGGATCGTTGAACTGTGGGGAGGAAGCCACCAACTCCGGCTGTGAAAAACAATCACATTCAGGTAAAGCACACCCCGGCAGGCAGACTCTTAGCACACATCCTCTGAGAGGAAGAGCCTCGTCACATTTTGCCTCTCACTGACAACAGAGAAAATAAATGAGGCACATGTTCTTCACAACAACCTTTTCTCCTGCTGATGTCAGAGAAAAGGCCTGATGGATTATCCTCCCTTTCAGCCCTTGAAATTTCCCAGGAATACCAGAAAATGCAGAGAAAGAACCACACCTGGGCTTGGAAGACAAGTTGTCAGAAAACACCAAGAAGCTGTCTTCCAGTTGGTTCATTCCAAAAACCCAGGTAATATATTGGAGGTCTCATGTGATTCAGTTCAAATGCATCTGGAAATTGACTCTCAGTTAAAGGGAATCACAAAAGATGGACCTTTCAAACCATACTATAAACTGAAGGCAAAGTTTAACATTCTGGTTGTAGAAGATTTCACTGTGATCAGCTTTGGGGTTAGAGGAGGCTGGTTGACCCCAACCACAGTTCCTAAAAGAAGCCAGTAGGATGGGGTAGGGAATGACCCCTTGCAGTTGCTGAATGCATTGCTCTAACACCCCCTATTTGAAAAGTCTACATGATAATCATATATGCATCAATCTGTTCTCCCCCACTCATGTGCTTATGAGAACATAGCATTTATTCATCCAAAGCGAGAATAATGAACACCCTCCTTATACAAGGTTTTTGGAATATGAGAGGAGAGGACTGTAAACTACCCACCAGAAATTCCCCATTTGACTCTTGGATCTGACGATGTCCCATTCCCTGTCCCTCCGCCAAGGAGACAGCCCTGGACTCTTATTATGGTTCTGCCCCTTTGAAACTCAGGCTTAGCAACTCTGTATAGTGACGGAGCAATCTCACCCACCTCACAGGTGTGCTGTGAGGAGTCAGTGACTGGGCAACTGCTCTGTCAACTGCAAAGCACTCTACAAACATAAGGTACTTGTGACTTAGGTTTGATTTTCCCTGCAATAATTGCCTGCTAGGCCCTTGAGTCTAAATTAAAACAGAAAAGGGCTTAAGAAAAACATTTCCAAATTCAGGATTAATAAGAGAAAGTAAAAGTTCTGTACTTGTTTTAAAGTGCTTTTTCTTCCTATGACTGAGTTTAAATGCACCTGGAATAAATGGTACTTAACCTTTGGTAAATATTTTCCCTCTTAATTGTTTTCTCGTGTGTCATCTTTCATAGTCTAATTACAAAATCATATCATTGCCCACTTGCCATCTGCCAACCAGTTATCTAGAACATTAAACTGAGAGAACATTGATCATGTGAGCATGAAGTTAAATCTGTATATAATTATTTGAGTAAAATCTTAGCCTAGATGGCCAGTTTCAGTGTGTTGAAACCTCAGAGCATCATGGTATTGAAAGGGTAATTACAAACGGCAATTCTGCCATAAAGTAAGGCACAATCAAATGAAAACCTGCCTTACTTTTAAAATCTCTGGAACACATTAGTCTTAGCAAGTGGGTGTGATTAATCTGCTACAAGAAATAGTTAAAATGGTGCACCCTAATCTCAATCCTAGCTCCCAGAGCTTGGTAGTATAGTTCTGTTTTCCTCTAAAAGGGTTCTAGTCTCCTTGGAGAAGTGGCTTTTTCCAGGTCTGGAGCAGGAAAAGAATGAAGTGATGCTGCTGTGTCTTGTGCCAGAAAAACAAGGAAGTGTTTGAAAACTGAAAGGTAAATGTCAAAAAGACACAGCAATGGCTTGAAAGAATCCCATTGGCCAAATTTGAGATAATTTGAGCATCAAAAGTACAATGAAACAATGACAAATAAAAACACATGGAATTTAAAATAATTCGCCTAATACAGATAGAAGGAATGATATAATTAGAAATTCACCATTTTGCAATCTGCACAGTAATAATTCAGGCAAGGTTTATGAATCAATTTTAGGACTATTGGTTGAATGTTGCTGGGGAACAAGATATTTATATAGTCTCAAAGTACTATCATCAGATTAATTCTTAATTACAAATGGAAAAGGTAGCTTTCAGTTAAGAGATCTGAAAAACACCACCTTAACCAAGAAATCTGGTGACTACAGCTTCAACTAATGTCTTCAGTAATGAAACAAACTGACTTCATGTGCCTCCTAATGTGATGTATTGGGAAATACACATCATATATGTAACTTTATTTCCAGAAATGATTAACTGAATCTAATAAAGAAACAGAAATCCATGAGATACTCTACAAGCAACTGGCCTGAACTTTTCAAAAATGTCAATACCATGACGTTGGGGGATTGCTCTGAATTAAAGGAGGCTAAAGATTCACAAATGATCAATGTGTGTTCCTTGTTTGTGATTAAAAGAACATTTATTAAGTCTATAAAGGACATTTTGGGAATATTTAGGAAAACTTGAATATGAATTGTATGTTAGATGATATTAAATCAATATTAAATTTCCCGAGTCTAATAATACATAATGAAATAGGAGAATGTCCTTGTTCTTAGGAGATATATGCTGTAATATTTTGGGGTGAAGTGTAATGATGTCTGTAGCCTTTTAATGGTTCATAAAAGACGGAGATACAGAGAGAAAGCAAACATGGCAAACATTCGGCCAATCCTGATGAAGGGATTATAGGTGTTTATTGACTAGTCTGAAATTTTTTGAAATAAAGTATTGGAGGAGAATAAGGTTGGGGGAAATAAGATGTGTGTGGGTAAGCATAGTAAAAAGTGTTATTTTCATTTTGTCAGTCTTCCTATAGAAGGCATCTAGTCTTTTGCCTACCCAGCATCTACTCATACATCCTCTGGCTGATTTTTCAAACACACCCTAATTTTTCTTCACAAACCATTCATCCTCACTCTTGGTCCAAGTTCAAGGGAAGCTGACTCCTTGCTGAGCTCCAGGTATGAGCATGAAACCCAGACCTGGCTGATCGCTGAATTACTTTTGCCTGACACAAGTGATCAGCTCTTGCTCTTAGGAGAAGGAATAGGGTCCTCAGAGGGTGCAGACATTTACAGTGTCAGTTACAGGGAAATAGATGGGTCTTCAGATGAAGCAGAAACTTGCTGGCTGGGTCATGTACAGGCAGGAACTCTTGTCTCTCCTGGGATCTCTCTTTGCTGGTTCTGGAATTTTGGAAAATATAAACCTACTTGAAATGGTAGGGAACCTACTTGAATGGCCTGCCTGGGCCATGTAGAGAAGGAGATAGACCCTGGGTAAGTAGGTGGCTCTCTAGGGGGCACAAACTGAAGGCGAGTCACTATTTTTATAATACTCTCTATATTTTTTCCCCTTTTATCATCTCTGAGCTTTTACTAAAGTTATGTTTAAATTTCAGCAGGGGTTGAGATTCATAACCTGCGAACTTTGCTTGCTCATGGTTTGGGTTCTTTTGTCTGGGCCCATGCCTTGCACATCTTGCTTTTCCATGTGCCTCTAGAATACAATCAATGGTGTGGTATTGTGCGGTCTTACAGCGTAATGGTCAGAAGACAGGCAGATCCGAGTGACCTGGACAAGGTATGTAACCTTCCTAAACTTCAGTTTCTTTGTCTATAAAATGAAGGTTTTGAAGATTAATTAGACGGAATGCGTATATACAGGGCAGTTAAGTGCCTGGCACATAGTAGGAGTTTCAAAAATAGTTATTATTTTGGAAAGAGCACTGCGCATCTGGGGGCTTGAGGGTTGTCCGCAATAGTTCTACCACTATTTGTGTTGCCTTGGGCAAGTCACTTAGGTCTCAATGATTAATTAATGGGTCTTGCTTTCTTCCTCTATAAAATGAAGGATTTGGAATAAGAGGTCTCTAAGGGCTCCCTTGGCTCTAAAAGTTGACCTTATTCATTCACTGTGCACTGAGCACCTGCCACGTGCCTGACACTGCTCTAGTAAGGCAGATAGCAGGCAGCAAAGCCTCAAACATCTCTTGCAGAGAAAGTCTGCCTTCCAGTAGGGGGAGATAGGTGGTCACTAAGAAAAACATATAAAGTGGTTACCAGGAGCTGGGGGGGTAGGGGGAATGGGGAGAAACTAGCTAAAGGACGGTCTACTGTGCAGCGTAGTAACTATAGCTCATAGTATTGTATCATACACTTGAAAGTTACTAAGAGAGTAGATCTTAAATATTCTCACCACAAAAAAGAAATGGGAATTACATGTGATGGAATGGAAGTGATGGTTCATGCCATAGTGGTGATGATTTCACAATAATATAAACATCAAATCGACACACTGTACACCTCAAATTTACACAACATTGTATGTCAATTATACCTCAATAAAGCTGGAGGAAAAAAAGAAAAATGTGTGAAGTATATAGTGTATTAGAGAGTGAGGAATGCTGTGCAGTAAAAGCAAGCAGGAAAGGGGAATGAGAGGTGGTGGTGTAGGGTTATGCCTTTTGGAGTGGAGGGAAGCCTTACTGAGGAGGTGACACTTGAGGAAACATCTGAAAGTGAAGAGCGACACAAGCTGGGAGGCCCCACTGGGGTCCGGAGACCCAAATTTAGCAAATGACAGGAATCACTTAAATAAAAGGCCATTAACAACTTGCTTTTGGCAAAACAAAAATCTATAAAGTTTTTTCCCTGTAATTTTGACGCTGCTAACAAATGCCTCTCACGAAAATGACTGTACATTCCTGCTAGACTGGATGCTTCTCAGGGGCAGTGTGAGTCGGCACGTGAAAGGCTCTCAGTAGGCATCAAATCTTTTCTTCTTCCTCCCTCTTTCTCCAACATCCCCCATAACCTCCAAATAATCATGGTCTTTGATATTGTCCAACAGCTATGCTTTAGATTTCATTGAGTAGAATGAAATAAAATATTGTGTACTCTTTGTTCTGCTTTTTGGTTAATTTGTAAGTAGCCACTTACCTTAAGGACAGATTCGGTGACGCCCCAGGAGAAGTCGCAGGGGAACTGGCCCTGTACATCTGGTGTGGACTCTTTTAAAGTGAACCCGTTGTCTTGTATGATCTGTCTGTAGTAATGTGCTGACGACTTGGGCTTCCTTTCTTTTTGTTGACTATTAAAATCCACATAAAATAATCCTCGGCGAGTGGTGTAGGCATCCTGCCATTCAAAGCCATCCAGGAGGGACCAGGCAGTGTAACCAAACACTCGTATTTCATCAAACTTTATTGCTGTACAGAAGGAAAAAAGCAGAGATGTTCAGAGGCCTGACCACCGATTTGTGTTCAGGACTTCCCTAACGATGTGCCAGGGGAAGCATATTGTGAAAATACCCTTTTCCCTAATTTGTAGGCCCATTATATCAGATAGAAAAATTCATGTTTCTATTTGAAAACTGTCAGTTATTTTTATCTAGAATGGTCCTCCCAAATCAATGACACAGGTAAAGGATCAAATTTTAAATATTCCTGAGACTTAGTGTGCAAGTCTGTGTCCGGGGGCATAGTAATTTCCAGAACCCTTGGGACCAATGCCACTGCCAGCTCGTGACCAAGAGTTTCTCATTTCAAGCTTGGATTGGTTCCCATTTTGGGACAAGCTATCTTCTATGAAACAATCCTCCAAGGACTGAAACATCAGCTTTGAGAATTAACATATGTGGATGTAGATTTAAGGAGGAGACAGAAGCACCAAGAAGAAGAACTGACTGGGTGGAGGGGCAGGAGGTGAGAGGGCTTGCTCCACTATGCTCCAGGGAGGGTGCACTTGGGCAAGTTTCTTGACCTCAGTTTCCTCACTTGCAGATAGAAAAGACTGGAAAAGATGATCTCTCGGGAACTTTCTAGCTTTAAAACTCTGATTCAACAACATCCGGGAATTAGGTAAAAATGAAGTAGGCAAAAAAACAACACATACCCAGATCAATCATGAACCATTTTTCCTTTGCTTAAAAGCTTTCATTTTTCTCATAGGAATTCCTCATTTCTGCATTTAGGGGGTTTTATCACTGACATCCTTTTCCTAAAAGGTGGAAAATCCATGCCAAGAGATTTCAGTGAGATAAGTATGTTTCAGCAGGCCCTGGTTCTAGTCCATTTGGTGCTGTAGGAGAGGTGGAATGATGACACCCCTCTGCCAAAGTGCATGGCATTTGGCCCAGGCCCTGTAGGCAGAGGCCTCTGTTCTAGAGGCCCCCTTGTGCACGTGCCCCCTGGCTGGGCATGGCCCTGTTCCAGGTGCTCCTTTTGTGGATTGGGGCAACAGGATCTTGCTCTCCTTGGGGCACCTCCCTGAACACTCTCTCCTGCAGAACCTAGGATTTTTCTCTAAGCTTGTGACTTTCAAAGAGAGCTACAGAGTTGTAGAAAGATCTACTGAGAATTCCTTTATGTTTGAGTGAAATGGAACCCAGCTCTGTAGGGGACAGTATCATCCTAATTTGAGCTTGTCCTCTGCTCCATTATGTCAGTCAGCCACCTGCAGATGTCACTACCTGAGTAATGGAAAAGGAATGCAGGGATAAGCAGAAGTTAGAGAAATTTCCAAGAGCAACAAAAATTGCCCAGCTTTGCCGTTCATGGCCATTCTTTGTCTTTAGACGTTTTCGTCATTTCAGTCATGTAGTAGAGTGAAAGGAGCACAATTTCAAGAAAAGCTCTCAGCATCTTAGACTAAAGTACTGTCATTAAGAGAGCTTTATATGTGTCTGTCTCAGCAGTTATGTCCTTTTTAAAGGAATGAAACAGCATCTTATTGCCAATTAAGGATGTATCTACAGTCTAAAATTATTTTGTTTTCAAACTACTATTAAAAAGGACATAGAGAAACATTAAAAAATTAAAAAAAAATTTCTGTCCACATTGGACCACACAAAAGTCCAACAACAACAATAATTCAATCGACTTCAAGTATCCTATAGCCTAAGGATTCCAAACAATTTTTAAAACTGAGCTAATGTGCAACTAACCTTGAAGAATCTGGTTGAGGAAGTTCTTCATCATGTAGATGGCTGTGGTATCTTCTGTTTTCACATGATTGTCCGTAAACCAGCCATTCTCAGTAATCAGGATTCGGGGATTGCCGTATTCCAGTTTAATCCAGTTCAGCACTTCTCTTAAATTGAGTGACACATTTTGTCCTATTTTAGCCATGGTGTTCTGGGGCTTGAAATTGTTGGGTCCAAAGGAAAAGGCAAAGAAGTCAGCTGTGCCTCTCACCTCATTCTGCTCTGCTTCGGAGAAAAGGGGTAGAATGGAGAGCAACTTCTTTTTCATCACCTCTGGGTAGTCGCCATCCCCGTGGATAGGGTTGGCAAACCACCCGAGCACAGAAACCATGGATTGCTGGCACTTGATTATATCCATTGTGTTTTCTGATCTGTTTGGCTCAATCCAATGGGAACCCAACGTGATCGATAACCAACCTTTCTGATGTGGGCGGAAATTTCTGTTGTAGTTATGCCAAACTTTTGAATGAGCCTAATAAAAAGAAAACATTATTAATCGTTATTGTTCTTACACACAGGGTTGTGAGTTGGCTGGTAGAAGGTTTTTTCATGGACAAATTAATGAAGCAAAGGATGATGCAGGGGAAAGCTGCCAGGGAACCCTGATGACCTCAAAGTCTGCACTCTGTTCACTTCTCCTGTGGTTCCAACCTAAAGGATATCCTGTAGGATCACCAAGGGGCAGGCAGAGAGCACTTGTGCAAGCTCCACCTTAACTTCTCCTCTCGCTGGCTCACTTCTGGGCCCTCATGGGGCTGGGTGCAGGTGAGATACCATGTGGAATCTAGGGTTTCTTCCTGTCCATAAAAAGACTCAGAGCAGCAATCTTCCACTGTTCTACAGAGTTTTCTTTTAGCCCTCACTGAGAGGTCCAGGATAATACAATCTCTAAATTCTGTAAATGGATAATAATAGAGCTCATCTCTTAGGCCTGTTGTAAAAATTGAATGAGTTAATGCACTTTAGAACAATGCCTGGCACAGAGTAACCTCTGTATAAGCCTTCGCTATTATTACTGTTATTATAAAAGGGTGACAAGCATGGCACAAAATAGAAAGCCAGTGGAAATAGTGTGGGGTTTGGGGTCAGCACACTTGGGCCTGACATTCAGTTACTAACCATAGTGACCTTAGACAAGTAAATAAACCTTTCTGAAACCTCTTCATATCTTCAGCTGTAAAATGAAGTTAAAAATAACAATACCCTGTGTAAAGTTGTTGTTAGATATAGAGCTAATGTGTATATTAGATACGTAGCATTGAACAGAGCACCTAAGAGCTATTGCTTAAAGATGGATGTTATTATTATTGGTCCTCCTGGGGTTTACATTTCTGGTTGAGCTCTCTTCACACTGAGACTCATGATCAGTTTCCAGTCTATTTAACAGGTACTTGCTGAGCCCTTACTCAGTGCCCGTCTTGCCCTGCCCTGAGAGGCTGAAATAAATGGTGCAGGGACTTGCTCTCAGGAGCCAATAATCTTAATGGGAAAATAAGAAATGTATGAAAGAGAAATATATAAAACTGCATAAAATAAGGCAGTAAGTTGCCATTTGTAGCAACATGGATGGACCTAGGGATTATCGCAGTAAGTGAAGTGAGTCAGAAAGAGAAAGACAAATATAGGTCCTTGTTGTTTATGTATTTTATGTATAGTAGTGTGTATCTGTTAACCCCAAATTCCGAATTTATCCCTCCCCCTACTCCTTTCCTCTTTGGGTAATCATAAGTTTGTTTTCTATGTCTGGGAGCCTATTTCTGTTTTGAAAGTAAGTTCCTTTGTATCATTTTTTAAGATTCCATGTATGAATGATATCATATGATATTTGTCTTTCTCTTTTTGACTCACTTCACTTAATATGATAATCTCTAGGTCCATCCATATTGCTGCAAATGGCATTATTTCATTCTTTTTTATGGCCAAGTAGTATTGAATTGTATTTAAAGAATAGCTAATTTAAATAATCCCGTGAAAGATTTTCTAAAGAAGTAGGTGCCTCGAGGTATTATTTCTATCTACCTAGTCTTACTCAGTTTTCACCTGGAACCACTTAGCACACAAATGTTCCCAAGGATCCTTAAGAGCGCTCTTCTCAGAGAAGTGTTCAGACTGTGGCCTCCTCTCCTGCCTCCAACCTGAGGTTCTAGCTTCTGGAAGGAATCTCAGGGGAGCCCAGGACAGACTCGACATTAAGTGGTCTCAGCTGCTCTTTCTGGGCTTCTCTGGGGCAGAAATCACAGCAGAAAATCTTGACTGCTTTTTTCCTGATTCGAAACAAAAGCAACCATGCATTACTAGAATTCAAAGGGAGGTATTCTTTGCTTTATTCTAATCATTCACTTAATCCCTTGGTAGCCTCAGAGCTTTCACCCGTGAAAGCTGCAGTGATTAGTATACCTCTTCAAGGTAGGTGTGCGCCTCTGATGTGTAAACCATAAAGCGCTAAACACACGTAAGATTCTGAGCCATAGACAGCTGCCTCACAGATACGATGCCATCAGACACTAAAGGGAGAGTGAGATAAAATCAGTATAAATGTATTAAACCAGTCTTGGTAGCAATTACCCGGTTCGTATAGGAAAAAAAAGGAGGGGGGAGTTTCTTTAAAATAGATGTTCTATTGCATATTTCAGTGATTATATGAAAGATGACTTAAATGATAAAATCTTGGTTACATCAGCGCTTTGATGAGAAAAAGGACAGCTTAGAAGACAACAGACATGTACCTTTGCAATAGCTTTCCAAGCAAGTTTTCTGGAGATAGATCTCTCTCCAGATACACATATGCATGTGTTGTCATGAACCAAGGTGACCTTCGTGTTCCACCATGTCTCTTTCACCTTTGCTGCTATTTGCATAGGCTATCAAGGTATGTAGGGTTATCTTTGCTCTGGGCTGGAGACAGCCTCTCCATTCTCAGGTAGTGAATGTAAGGGAAGTTCTTTGTGCAGCACTTTTGGTTATAACTTGATCCTGTTTGCCACGTAACAGTGTAAAAAGTGTTGCTCCGAAATAGTGAATTTGTCATAACTCTTGATGAAACAGGGATATCTCTGTGTGTCCTTTGGTCCTATGCTCGTAAAGGAGATCTGCTGGGAAAACTGAAACGGGGTTGTGGGGGAGTGCAACCTGGGCCCTGCAACCTTGCACAACAGTCATTCTGTGATTTTCCAAGGTTACCCTCTATCTTGTACAAGGCCATCTACCTTTGGAATGATTGATTTAAGGGAGCTTCAACCTTTGTTCTTTAGATTCAGTAGCTTAAAGGGGAAGTCAGCCTTTTCTTTTTGAGGCAGATAGCAGGGCCTGATGTCACTGAGAGACAGCCAGGGGCCTAAAATCTCATTCTGTTCCCTCCTCTAATCTAACATAGCAGCTGTTTGATGCTTCTGGAAGTCCAGACTCAGATAAGTTCTATGGATAATAGGAAGCAAATAAGATAGCTGGACAACTTTAGAAACAAAGATGTAGAAGGGGTTGGAGGTCAGGAAGACATGGAAGGGACACTGGTGGAAGGGAGGATTTTGGAAGGCATGGTTGAAGACACCTAGCACATCGCGTGTGCCTGTATTGAAGGAACCCCTGATCATTTGTCAAAAATTGAATTTCCAAAACTATGCATGATTTTAGTCACATTTTGGCTGAAATATTGTCATGTGAACTATAAACCTGTTTACTGTTAAAGCTACTTAATAAAGTAAAAATTTACTTTAAAACTCCACAATCTTAAAAAACTATACTTCTGTGTTCCCTTCCAGCTTTTCCAAATATATTTCCCAGCTAAAATCAGCTTAACATTTTCCAGGTTATTTTTTGTCTTTATGACAATCTTAAGAGTATAACAATTCACCAATTTGATGAAATATGATGTTCTTAGTCATCTCCCTCTTTTGATAAAAATTAGCTTGGTTTCTTTTCCTTCCTTCCTTCCTTCCTTCCTTCCTTCCTTCCTTCCTTCCTTCCTTCCTTCTTTCCGTCCTGTTATAAATAATGTTGTAATAACTAACTTTGGGCATATAGCTTTTTTTTCTTTCCATGTTTTTATTTATTTACTCTTCAATAAGTTTGAATCCCGGAGGTGTACAGCATCACATGGATTCTGTGTCCAATGGCTTTAACAAGAAGGTTGCTTTGGAATTTGGCATGAACCATGCCACTGTTTCCATGAGCACGAGTTAGTTACCTTTCCCCAGATTACTCTGGTTTTGTTCAGTTTTCCACCAGGAGTTACTGTATTGTTCTTTGCTTTGTACACATAAGTACATCTCTTGCCTGGATTGAATTGTTTCATCTCGAGCATAAACACCTTCAACTTTAAGAAGAGCTGTGTGCTCCCTCTAGTTCCGGAGACCCCTCTTATAGCCAGCACAAATGGCCTTGGACCACAGCCTTCCAGACACATTCACTGTTCTGGAAGTCCTGTTCCCAGAAGGCCTCTGCCGTCTCCAAGATGGCTGAAAGAGTGGGCATATAGCTTTTGATATGTTTGAATTCTTTCCTTCTTTTAATCCCAGGAAAGGGTTACCTATTTTTGGAATTGTTTTACATATTTCCAAATATGTAAGTGTAAGTGTTTTTTGACATCTGCTTTGAATCATTGATTGCTCTTTTTGGAATAATTTAGCCATCAAGAATGAAATGAAGGTGCTAGTCTCCTGCAGGGTATCACAGGGGACAGGACCTAGGGCTTGAAAGCAGGACACCCAGGCTCTAGCACTGGCCCTGCCACTAATTAGCTTTAGATCTTGGGTAAGTCGTCTCCCTTTCAGCGGCCTCGGTTCCCTCCTCCATTATACTGAGCTAAAAATAAACACTAGAGAATTGCTGTGAAGATGGAATGAGGTAATACATGTAAAGACCCTATGAAAACCACACAAACCTAAATTTGAAGTACTTTGAAAGAGCAAGCTGGAAAGTATTTAACTTGCTGTAGAAAACAATTGTAGGAAGTCTGTGTGGGCAGGAAGAGAGGTTTCCAGATAGTTCTCCCTCACTTCCCAGGGCGCATGGCTCACTTTTTCGTCCTCATTTATCTTTTTGTGGCTGATTTAACTTTGTTCACTGTCCATTCGGGCTAGGATTAAATTTCAGTTTGATTCATTTTTTCATTTACTCAGCATTTCTTTATATTATCAAGTCTTCTACTAATTATAACTGCTACTCTTCCAGATTATTTAATATTCACTCATTCATTCATTCCGCATTCCACAAATATGTATTGGGTGCTTAGGATATATGAACCTTGTTCATTGTTTAAAAAAATCATGTGACACTTATTTCTTTAATTTTTTTTGACAGTCTTAAAAATGCTCTTGGGATCAATATCTGACCCTCATTATTCTTAGGAGAGAATTTAAATATTAACAAAAGTTACCACCTATCATAAAGAAAAAATTTACCCATTCTATTTTTAATGGTTCAAATTCATGTTTTCTTTTTTTTTATTAAAAATTTTTAAAAATTGAAGTATAT